GGCTTCATGTTTTGTACTCATTTTTATTTCACCCAAACGCCTCTCGTCCCGTTTAACGTGTAGGCTTTCGCGGCCAATATCATCCACAATACAGGTCATTTTTTTGGGTTTAGTGTAAATATAAACCTCTTGTCCCATACATCTCCCGTGAGTCATACATCAACGGGTCCCCACCCAAGGATCCTACGCTGCCCATCCACCCAACTGCCCATCTAACCCACCTACCTATCCACCTGTCTTCCTATAAACCAAATCACATTGCTATGCTCCCGAACTCGTTAGCTCTAAGAAGCTAAACAACGTTGAGCCAACATGATAGTGCCTGGATGGGAAACCGACATTCATAACAGGCGTTACAGGCTGTGGGCAGCTGAGGGGAGGGCAGCAACATCAATTGTACTGTATGCTTCCACGTCTATGCTCCCCGCCCTTCACGAACCTGCACTGAGCATGGTTGATGTACCACACGGTGACAAAAAATCCTACAACTTCCATGACGTGGTGAGGCCCTCATCCAGCAGTGGATTGACCAAGGGCTGTACATGACCATCAATCCGTCTATACTTTTGTATGAAACCAAATGCATGTTTGCCTAGCAACCTACTTGTTTAGCTACCTACTACCTGCCAGCAACAAGCCTTTATTTCTTGATGGCCACCTGTTGGGCCTGTTGCTATGGCCATGAGATATGAATAGGAGCTAGTTAATGTCACCCAAGCTGGGAAGCACTCTTGGGGTTTTTGATTACAAAAGAGGAGGACAAAAAGCAATTCATGCTGCCCTCTGGACAATTGATCACGTATTAATTGTTCAATTATTAATACTTTCGTAATTCGCTTGAATTATTGATAGGGCTTTGAAATGCGGATGCAGTCGCCTCAAGCTTCACCATTGAAATGAACAAAACGAGGTTCTGATTTCATGACAAATGTATAACAACATGCATTTTATCCTGGGCATTTGGCATTTACCACAGAGCAGTGGATGTTGTTGTGGTAAAATGGTCAGCAATCAGGATTTGCAATTCAAAGGTGACTGCATCAATTCGACCTCCCAGCCCGACAGTTGAAATAATTGACACGTTTCTTAAATCCCAAGGTCGTGTGCGTTGTATGTACAGTATGTTGAACTTCTTTCGCACCGTACGTAACCAACCGTGCTAATCGGAGATGCGGAAAATTTGTGGGTAATCCCACCTCTTCCAAGACACCAAACCAGCATAGAAGAGTAGACCAAATATCGTTTGGAAGAGCTTGTTAGAGCAGCGTCGTGAGAAATACATTTCAAGGGCTGCACCTTGACTGTTTCGAATGTTTTATGGGATGCAGCAGCAGCGGCGTGTTTGTGTGCGACTGTCTATTTGTGTATGTGTCGTTTGTTACATGATTGACACATCCACTGATAAAAGAAGACTCATAAATATTCATGGTCGGTTGCCCGACCTGCACCCAAACTGCTCGCAATGTTTTCAACACATAGCTCGCAACATTAGTCATCGTCTCGTTTTTCACACTTTATCAAGCAAACGCATGCTATCATTTAAAAAAGAAACAGAGGCAAAAGCCCTCTGGGATTCCCTATCGCATTGTTTAGGTATAATTGCACGCGTGTTAACATTATACGGACCTGAATGAAAATAAAATATGAAATAATATTAATAGCGCGTTTGCTGTGTGTGAACGAGCAATGCTAATAACCGCACATTCAATCGAGGACAATGACACACTGACTGACATTGACATGCGTACAGTGTCTTCTTTATACTTTAGTGTAAACACTGCACTGCACACAGTGCATTCGCTATACTTCAGCTAACATTTGCTTCGTGCGCACACAATGTAACTGCACACACACAAGATGCCCTTGCGCATATCACATTATAGCTGGCTGCACAGTTTGTACTTAGATTACTTCATCATTGGTTAATTCAGTTCTTTGTGTTACTCAGTTTAAGTTGAGTGTAATTACACTCATGTAATGTCGCAATTCCCTGCATACTTCAATTTCCTTTGCAATTGATTAATGTCCAATGATGCAATTAACTTTTTCCATCTTTTATTGTGCACCCCAGATTACTGCTGATGTTGCCATGAATTAAGCATTGGTGGGATATGAGCTTCGGATTACTTCATTTATAATGGAAACATATCTTTACGAATGATTGGCAAGCTGTACGCTGCTTAAAATCATCTCACTCTAACAGCTGTTAGGCACGTGACAGTGACGGGTGACAGTGTGTGCATTGTCAGCTAAGAATCGCAAGTAGCTGCGTCGTTCATGGTTTAAAAAACGGAGCCACCACTGCTGAGATATACGAGGTTTGAATCAGTGTTTCAGCTACCGGTCATAAAACAGAGTTCTGAAATTGTACTGAATTAATGGTCTCGGCCCTGTCACTAATGAATGCACAAAAAGTTGTAACATTAGTGTTGCCACCTGTCCGGATTTGACCCAGGCAGTCTGGGAATTTACTTCTGAGTTTGGGTGGCAGGAATTGATTTTTACTGATATCTCGTTGTTTATTATAGTAGAATTCACCGAATCGATTGACATAGGCTGACATAGAAATATGCCCGGGTTTGGTCTGTGGAGAGAGTGATAACCCAAAATCATATTAAATGTGATGTTTCACTAAGTTCCAGACTTCAAACATTGGTTTGACTGGAACATTCTCTGCAGGACATTAAAAGGTGGTGCATGGCTGAATCAGGTAAGCCCAAAAAACGGGTCCAGTATTTGTAGATTGTGACCAAAGAAGATACTTGGAATGCATTTTATTATTAAATATACGGTTCAATTTAAAAAAACCTTGACATTTAGGGACTTCACACCCCCACCTCTCGCTTTGGTAAATGTATGGATCTGCCTCTGGTGAAGAGGCCGAATTGAAGGTGGTTTCAGAAGTAGTTCTACTAGGACATCTTCCTCGGCCTGTTATCTGAACACAAGGTTGATACACAGCTGGCTGTAGAGTTCCCTATGGGATTCGTATTGTTTTCACGACACGAGGCCGACAAGCACGATTGTAATACAATACGCAAGCAAACATAACACGTCTCATCTGTTGCGTGGACGTGGTGTGCAAGCGAGTCGTTCGCCAAGTCCAAAGACAACATTAGACTTATCCAAGCTGTAGTGTGGACGCGGTCGATTGAAATAAAGACAAGAACAACGCCATCCTTCCTTGTCATAGCGTCCCCGCCACACATTTGAGTGGCTCTTCGCACTGACTCCACGCACCGGCGACTTGTGAATGTTTGATGAGTGCAGGGGAACACGAGACGCAGTGGCGCATTTGCGAATGCGGCATTTTCCCCAATCTCACTTTGTTGTTGTTGTTGTTAAGCAGCTGACGCTGCGTTTGCAGTGATGCATAGATAGCACGCACGCACACACACAATGACCCCAACTAAACTCAACACGTTTGTCAGTGTGTTATTTATAAAGGTGCGTTGTCTGAAACGTCGTTAACTATGCTATTTATTTTAGGGCAGCGTCATTGGCGAATGCGATGAGCGGTTTTGTTTGGCCTTTTTCTAAATATAGATTTAAGAGATACGTTTTCGCTGATGTTGTTGGCGTTGCAATTATCTCGTAGTTGAAGCAATTAAGAAGTTTAACTTGTTATGCCCCACTGAAAACAACAATGTATTGAGCAAACAGTTGTACTGCATGTCATCAGTATGTCAATACAGCACATGCACCCTACTGCATTAACTATTGGACACTTCAAGCACTTCATTATCTAAAACAAACTGCGAATTGTGACAATAACTGGACACCAGGCTAAATGTGTGAATGTACACGGCACAAAAACAGAGGCGTTGTTGTAATTAAAAGGTTTAGTGGTTTTTTTTAATTATTCGCAGTGCATGGGGATGGTATTTAATAAATGTGCCTGCAATTGTCTGGGTGGCGGTCAGCAACCCAGGCCACCCCAATTCGATCCAACACCAGTGACAATGACCTCTGAACCGGGCGTGTGCCCTCCTCTAGATCCACTCAGCCTCAAAATGAGTTCCTTGGTGCGGTGTCTGAACATCGCCGTCGGGGAGACAAAGGCGGCCTGGCGTGGTGCTGGCCACCCAGCCCCTTCCGTGTGCCGTTCCTGGCATCATAGGTGCTCGCTAACAGCACTTGCCCCTACAGCCTGTTACAGGCTACGTGTTGAGTGGGAATCTTTGTCTTTGCGCCTTGGCCTCACGCAAATGGCTCTCGTTTGTTTACATTGGACCCCGGCCATTCGGGATAGTCGAAACGCCTCGGAGGCAGATACGTGGACGTGCAGCTCATTGCATTGTTGTTGTTGCTGCAGCTGCTGCGTGCATCTGCCCCGAGCGCTAGTTAGAACTCTAGCAGTAGTTCGCAAGGCACAACGCTGCGGACATGTCAACACGCACCAACATTTGGTGGACGACCATCGTGGGCCCTCGCTCGCCCTCTGAGCCAAGCGGGGGGGGGGGGGGGTGGAGCAGCCATCTTATGAAGGGCTTCGAAGTGACGGCGAACACAGAATCACTCAGAACAACGCCACACACGGTCCACCCCCCTCTTCTACACACACTCACCGCCACGTACAGCCCGAAACAGACATTTGTGGCATTGCGCCGTGTTGATTGTGAGCAGCTATGGAGCTAGACAAAGATTCACCCGTGTAGCCTTAACTGTAGGGGACAAGTGCTGTTAGCGAGCACCTATGAAGGTCGCAATGATCCACACTGCCTCTACACGGAGCTCGAGGCACTGTGACAGGCAACAGCGGCGTGGGGAGAAGGGGAAGGTCGGTTTAGTTGAAGGGGACAACGCCACGCGGTGCCCCACTGCACATGGCCGCCCTCGGGAACGTCACTACGCCACGTGGGCGGGGCTAGCGTCACAGGTTGACGCCCACTCACTCACGGTTAACCAATAGGACGCGAGTATCTCTTCCCGCGTGCCGCGCGTTGACCAATGGGAGGATTTCATTACGGGGGGGGGGTGAAGTTGAGGGGAGGGGCTGGAGGAGGAGAGGGGCGGTGCGAGCGGTAGCTCACCACGCCACCATGGCGAGCGTGGCGTTCAGTCCCAATTTCGCGGTGGTTTGCTCGTTTCTCGAGCGCTACGCCGCCCTGCTGCGCCTGCCCGACTTCAACTTCGCCGAGCTCGAGGCCGCGCTCGACGACACCGACGAAGGTGCGGACGTTTTGCACGGTGGTTGTTGTTGTTTTGAGGGGATGGGAGGATGAGGGGGGGGGGTCATGTCAGCATTGTGTGTGCGCGCGTGTCTTCTTGTTTTTCTTAAAGCGGCGCTTTAATTATTTATTACTACGGGCTCGTCAACGTTCGCGTTGTTGTTTTTTGAGTCCGTGGCCGATCGCTCTCATCGCGCTCTCTCTCTCTCAGAGAGACCCTCCTCACCACGCATTGTATTTGCTAGCGCGGATACGCGCGGCCGTCGAGTGGCTCGCGCAGCCCGATTGGTTGGCGGCCGCAGCGGCGCTCGCGATTGGTCGGCGTCGTCGAGTTTCCCGCCAGTTTTGACCAATCGCGAGCGTCGCGCGCCCGTGCACGGTGGGAAATGTAAAAGGGTGTCTCGGGTGCTGTGTGCACTTAATGGTGGTTTGGTTGTTGTGCAAAAAAAATGATAAAGTGACATGGCGAAACTTGTTCGCATTATCTTGTACAATCGAAATGTAAAACTAAAAAGTTTAACCGTGAATTGTCTGTGCCACGTTCACATTGCCGCGCGCGTGTTTTTCCTGCGGTAGTTTCTGTGCGAGACGGTGTAGCTGCCACTGGTTTTTGCGATGTTTTTTTTCTAACCTCAAGCCCATCGTTCACTACGCAGCCATCGATTTAATTTCATACCCGTCCCTAATTCTCCCAAACTAAAACAACTTAACTCCCACGAGCAGTGGGGGTGAGGGCACCCTCTTCGTACAATGCCACAGTCACCTGCCGTTCGTATTGACCGATGGTCATGCTTAGCAGCGCAGCGAGCATGGCGATAACGACAACGTGGAGGAGGAATGGCGATGCTGGGGTGCAGTGGTTGTGTTTTCATTTTTAAAAAAAACCTTCCCTCCATTGAGTGAGTGCAGCTCACAGCCGCTACGTGGCGCTGCCACACAGAATGAGAGGAGCTTTGAAGGGAAATCTTTGAACGCCGGAGTGGAGGCGGATGGATGCAAACCCGCTTAAAACTTACACCACGAGAATGTGCACAAGTCCTGAAGCTTCACATCCAGAAACAACCCAAGAGTAGAAGTCCTGTTGTCAAGTGATGAGCACACATTGTTGGCCCACGTGGACTTGGCTTCTTGTGGTTATGAATAGCCGCTCGGCTTAAAGGCTAAAGTTAGACTGAGGGGGGGGGGGTAAAGTGATAGGTTCAGGTTGTGGATGAAGAGGTGATCGAGATTATTGCTTGGGTGAAGAAGTTTAATGTTCGTGTTATTCGAGTCGTATGGTTAGTGCTGAGGTTTTCGCCCCTGCCATGCATAGTCCCATGGGATGTTGGCTATCAACAACAAGACAACTCCTATGACTAATTGGGAATGGGACGCAAGCGTAGGATTGATCACCCTGTCGCTGGCCGCCTTTGGGGAGGGTGTATAGTATGAAAGGCCGAAACACCCTAGGAACCAAAGGGTCACTACTGACGATGCGCTCCCCAAATTTCACCAGGCTCACTGTTCATGAACTCTTGGAAGTGCTTGCACAAAGGATAGTAACATCTCATCCTGTGTTCTTTGGAATCTAAATTTAGGCTCCGTTAAAGTAACAGCTGTGGTGCTCTGGTTTGTAGGTTAGTGTTGGTTCTAGAAGTATATTTATATTTTAGTATATTTATCGTTGTGGACCAGGGTAGGAGGGCCTCTCTCGCCAGTGGATAGCTCATGGCTTTCGATGATGGATATGGTTGGTGAACGTGATATATGATAAGTGTAGTGCTAGTGTTAAGATTTAAAGATGGTGTTCAAGAAGCGGTTCTTGTGACTCAGGAATAGTACTTTAGTGCCAGGAGTAAGAGCTAAAGTTAAAGTTGGTTGAAGTGATAGAGTATTATTTATACGGTCAGATTGATGGTTAATCTTGGTTCTCGGAATAACGGTCGGTGCTAGAGTTAGCGTTGGTGAACGTTTATAAATATGTATAGCGCAAGGGTTATGAGTGTTGCATTTAAATGTTAGATCTAAAGGTGGAGTTAGTGAGATTAATATCTAAAGGTTAGGGCCAGGTAAAATACTCTGAGCTGTGCTCAGATTTAAGGTTAATGTTGATTCTCGTCATAGAATTAGTGCTTTGGTTAGGACTAACTTTATGAATGAGGACGTTGATATGTGCAGTCTGGTGGTTCGGTTTAAGGTGAGTAATAGTTATCGGGGTAAGGTTCATGCTAAGGATGGGGATGTGCATTTTTTGGTTGGTGCTAGGGTTATGAACAATATTATTGGGGAGGGGGTGATTGTGCTTAAGTGATGATTTAAGTTAGGGTTTGAGTTTGGGTTTATTGGTAGCAAAGGTAGACAATTGTAGATTTGTTTAGTCGTCGGCTTTGGTATGAGAATTGTAGAATAAAGGTTAGTGCTACAGTCGGGGATAATTTTAGAGGATTATTTAATGAGGTTTATATTGAGGGTTAATAAAGTACAATGTTTATTCTCTCGCGCAGGCATTGTTGAAGTATCTATTTTTATGCTGTGTGGTTTTATTTACGTGCCATTAATTTCGCAATGCAATTTCAAGCATACCTAATGAAAAAACGCACGTCATACAATGAGTACAATACAATATTAATTAAGAGAGAAATCAAACGTAAGCATGCTCAGGTGGGCATCGTGGTTTACAGCCATGTATGTTTTGTGGGCCTTGCACACCAGTGGGGGGTGGTGCTCGTAAGAGTAGAATCCGCCTCGGGGGGGAGCCCTGCTGTTGGCCACGATCAGCCCAGGCCCCCCATAAAATGACACCTTCCTGAGCCTTGCCCACCTGCACGGATATGTGGGGTTTTGCTGCTGACGGTAGGAGTCAGAGATGTGCAAGGGAGAGACGGAACGTGCACCTCGCGATTACCTTCTTCCGTGCACTCCATAGTTCATGTTATTTAAAGTCCCCGCTATTGTGTTGATGGCGTTTTGTATGCCGACATGACTGTGTACGTTTGTGTAAAATGGATGGTATTTGCTGTACAACCTGATAGTGGTGAAGCTGTGTGATTTAATAGCTCTTTTTAAATTATTTGGAAAGACATGTTACATTTCAGAAATGCGGTTCGTTTTCATAAGTTGCAGAGGTTTGTGACTTGCTGAAATGTGCTAAATGTTTATAAGACGAATGTTTGCCTTCTTATTTCAAGGACATTAAGGCGTATGTGAATTGGTTCTACTGCGTCATTACCAGTTGCACCAATGCATGCAGCATACATGCATTTGTCTCCCTTTAAACGAGCTATACGCATCTCAATTGAGAGACCTTACACAACCCCTCCTACACTCTGGGTTATTAATCATGCATAGACCACAAAGGCTGTTGGATTAAAGAATTCATGTGGTGTCTGCAAGCAAATTTATACCGTAACCTTGTCGTGTGTATAGGTAGTAAATTAATGGAGAAGACAGGACCAAGCACTAATGTGCAGTGGGGGAAACAGAGGCTGGTTAAAGACCTGCTGGGATGGAAATTTTAACGGGAAATAGAAAGGCAGCACAATTGACTGAACATAATAACTTTTGTCGCTGGCGCTCAGCGGGCCCCTCTCGTCTTGCGGACGGGAGGCCTGTTAGCGCCATCTGTGTAATTGGTTTTGCGTTCCCCTTTGTCGACAGCGCCCAATGCCTTGGTGGAATTGCACTTGCGGCTGCTCAAGACGATGGGGCAGAAGGTGGCACGAGACCGATGGGAGAAACACCTGGCCAAGGTGGGCCCCCCCCTCCTTTCCCTCCTGACCTGCATACTGCCCCCAACCATGACCCGGCTCTAACCAAACGTCTTTAATCGTGGCCGTTATGTAGGCCTAGCTGCAACTGAGCCTGTGTCAGTAGTCTTATCACACATTTACTTTTAGCTCAGGTGTTGCAAAAAGCTATGTGCTAGAAATTGTTTATCACTAATTGCATATAGATGTCGAAGTTTCTTATCAGTTTAACAGTCCAAACAGTTGTTAATGTTCACATATCCGTTTAATAGGATGCATTTTTGGATAGAGTGATGAGTCTACATCTACGAGCTTGTGGCTCCTGCATACTGGCCGCCAGCTGGAACGAAAACCCGGTCTGGGGTTCTTAACGTCGATTTTTCTTTGATTGTCTCGATACAGATGTGTGAAGATTTTGACAGCCCCCTTGCTTGGGAGCTCAAGAACCTGGGATACCCCAAGATGAGCCAGGCCAACAAACTGATTCTGCTCAAGGTATCATTAAGTTGCTCCGTATAGCTTTTTAGACTGTTGAGGCAAGTGCTATTAATTAGCAAGCGCCTCCTGAAGGCTGGCCTGGTGCACGAAGGTGGTGATTGTGTGGCTGGCACAGCACAAAATAGGGTCATGTGACCGGCACCATCCCAGCTTCATTTGTCTCCCCCATTGCTAATGTTTACACACCTCATCAGGTACTAATTGAAGGGTGAGTTGATCCCTACGGGAGGCCCAAGACGAGGTCAGATATCACATGCTGCTTATGTTAACCATGGCAGGAAATAAAACCTAGGTGATTAGGTCCATCGTGCAGTGAACTGAACATTATGCCACCGCTTTGCTCATGAGTGGATTGTACACCAACACATAGACTGATATCCCCTATTGAGCTTATAGACTGTTGTGTAAGTGCTCTGTCCACCAAATTGTTCAGCAATGAAATAGCATTTCTATTGGGAAGTCACTGATTTTAGGCATTGTGAATTACAAATGTATTTTTTATTTGTTCTTGCACACTGGTGTCAAAGTTGAAATTATACAAATTGCTCATGGATGTAAACCGTGATAAGCATCGCCCAAACGTAATTTGAGCAGGTAACCACTTTTTGTTAAATGTATATTGTTAACTAATGTAATTTTGTATTGCTATCGTAACTTTCTGACCCACCCCTACTGGACATCTGTGGAAAAAAAGCTTCATATCTCATTGGATTCCTCCAGTGTAATTAAATATTCTAACGAAAGATTCTGATAATTCTAATAATGCCCTTTCATTATCCAAGAAAGCCTGCGTCTTTATACTCTTGTCAAGAATCGAAGTGGTAGGTCTCATGTGCCTATGAGCCACACATAATTAATTTTGAGGGTTTTGTTTGACCTGTGAGTCGAATGGAGAGCGTCTTGCCTTATCCCACCACTAACTGTGTTCCCCATGCCCTGTGCCCCCCACCGCCATGACCGTTTGCCAGTTCTTGTGTGAGACGCAGTTTGACGACAACGTGCGGTTCAAGGCGACCGTGAACGAGGAGGAAGCTGAGCTGATGCGGGTGCAGCCACTCGGCCGTGATCGTCACGGCCTCGTCTACTGGATCCATACGGACGGGCATTTCAACACCCGCCTCTACACCGAGGAGCAGGATGACCTGGAGCAGTCGTCCTGGAAGCTGTTGTCACGGCAAGTGGGGCCTAACCGTGGCACTCGCCTCTCCCTAGATCATTTTCTCGCCTTCCCGATCGCTCCTTTTCTCGCTTGCTCTTTCAATCACTCGTTAGCTCTCTCAATAACTCATGCACTCGCTCTAGGACTCAATTTTTTCCCTCAATCAGTCACACCCACGATTGCTCACTCCCTGGGTTACTCATTCATTTGCGTACTCCGTTTATAACTCATTAATTTGATCGAATTTGCTTAGTTCACATTTTTTTGTTTAATGAAGTGCCATACATTTCAATAAAGCTGATTTTTTAAATCGATATACAAATTTACAGCCCTTTGTCAATTCACTCATGGTTGAAGGTGGTGGTAGTGATGTTAAGAGTACCCATTCCACATTTGCAATGGTAAGTTACTTTACATTTGTAAGTTACAAAATGGGACCCTTTTGCCAGTATCAAAGTGAAGATGTTCAAACACCAAATATAATTTTTTTGCAAGGAATCAAGTTTGCATTATAACCACACGTGCTTGTTGTGAACATGCAAACAAACATGCTCTGATAATATATGCATTGTACTAGAACCTGATTGGCCTATACCAGAGACAGCCTTCTTTAGGGCCCAGTCTCACCACGTCACTTAGGGTAAAACCTATTCTAGTTTTTTCATATTTTGTAAGTTATTTAACATTGGAAAGGCCAAGTGTCCCTTTGTATTTGTTGTGGGACGTGGTTAGTGCATTGTGATACATATCTGGTCATCTGGCTTTGATTCCCAACCACAGTTAACATCAGTCGTGATTATCAGAACTGGTCTTGGGCCTCACTTAGGTCAACTTGGCCTTAAGTGAGTACCTAGTACAGTGTAAATATCAGTACTGGGGAGACGGCTGGGCAAGGTGCTTACCACACCTCATTCTCATGCAACGTGTTGGCCTGCATAGGTGCTCACTAACAGCACTTGCTGCTACAGTCTGTTCAAGGCTATATGGGGCACCTTTTTATTTATGTTACTGAGGTGTGGTATTATCTTAGTTTGTACCAACACAAATGTGCGGTCATTCTTGCGCTCACCACTGTTTTTTTATGTCCACGTGTGGAAACTTCTACCAGGATGGGAAAGCTTCTCAATTATTAAAACAAAGTAATCTTTCTACTTTTTCCTCCTCTGTGTTGCATAAAATAGGGAATAAGAAGTGCAATATAGGATGAAACGTTTTAATTATAATTGGAGCATTCTGTATCTTCCCTGTAATGTGCAGATTTCTACTGTTTCTCAAAGATTTGATAGGCTCAACACTGGTAAAGTGCTAATACAATAAATAACTCGATATTAGTGACTTGGATTTTTTATTATAAATTATTACCTTTAAGTAATTCGCCATGATTTAACAGTTTAACAGGCATGTGCTGTTGTATTTATTAATCGATCAAAATCTATGTTTTACTCACTTTGCAAGCATTGAATCGATGCGTGTGACAGTTATTTACCATTGATGCAAATGCTATGCATATTCTATACATTAAGACATGCAGTAAACAAAATTACAAACTACAAAAACATAAAGTTATAAATGAGATAGTGAAAAGTAAACAATACAACTGTGATATCAGGATTTTGATGATTCATCAAATTGATGCGTAGAGAAGCCGTTCCATGCCTGTTGTGTAATTTTAAATTTAATTGAACACACGCACTGATGAAAAACAATCTAATTATTGCCAAATTGTGTGCAAAGATGCACGAGGAGATTGCACACTTGGAAATTGTGCTGACAAAGAGAGAAATGCACGGATCGCAGCAAAGACAAATGAAGATGCGTCGTATTCACTGCGGTGAAACGCAAGCGGGTTTGAGCGCAACGCATCGCGAGAAGAGATGATGGCCGATGGTCGGTCGAGATTAATGACACTGGCTGCGAAATTGAGGAAACACAGCTAAGAAAATGTCCACCACGGAGATGGAGCGATAGAATCCACTCGAGTGCAGCACCTAGATTGATTGTCACTCACGCAACTGAGAAATGTATATTGCTTGGGTAGGTAAACATTTTTGATAAAGATGTATGCTTAAGTTGAACATGAAATATGCACTTGGGGAGCTGAATATATGGCGCTGCATATACCGACAGGTGGCAGCTGCGTTGCTATGGCAACCTGCTGGATGGAGGGAGAGGGCATGTCAGAATAAGTGACGTCACTCAAGAGCTGCAAGATTACATGGTCATGTGACAGGAAATTATGTCATGTGGAGATGATGTCATTACTGGCCTTTGCTGTTGCCAATGGAGGCATCTATCTGGCATTCGAAACGGTAGTTAACTGGCCTTGCTGTGGTCTGGATGCATTTGCCTTCTATATGTCAAACAAAGCTGGATTCCTTATTATTGTGATTAGTATTGGTACAGACGGTAAATGCAACTCAAGTGTGTGAAGGTCATTATCACAATACAAAAGGTACATCACAGGTATTAATTTAATGTATAACCATGTCAGAGCCCCATTGGGACATCTCTTTTGCAAAGGCAACCTCGGGTGCAAATTAAACTGCAGTATAAAATTATTATTTCATAAAAGTGATCCTAAACATAACGACCGAGATGAGATTAAACTCATTGTTTCTCAGCAATATAATTAGGAAGAAAATGTATTTGTAGTCACACGTACAAATAATCAGACCTATCATGTACTTCAAAATACAATTTCACTGCAGTGAGGATCAGAACTTAAGTGATTATTTTTTCCATTCATGTTGAACAGCCGAGGACAGCTTGGGAACGTGTAATGTATGGTTGCGTTTTCAATTCTAAGTCAATGAGACACCAGAATCCTCGAGTGGGTTACATTTGCATCCGAAAGTATTTTTCTGCTGCACATTGATGGTTTTTCCAGTTTCCATTATTCATTCCTGCAATTTTGAATGGCCACTATCCCACAGTAATTGTTTTAATTAGATTTGCATGAAGATATTTTGATGGATTGCTTCCAGCTGTATCTGTTTCCTGCCGTTGAGGCTGCAGCAGCTGCACTCAGCTCTGTGGCTACCTTTTCCCAGCTGCCATTGTAGTGAGCAAACACACCTCTGAGAAAATGACACAGCCAAATGCTCTTCTTGCATTTGCTGTCGGGTCTATATCCAAATTACCTAAACACTTTATTTGCATTAAATCGGCCTTTTCATTACTCCATCCAGCTGCTGCAAGGGGCAATTCTGGACATTGTGGACCACTTTTTTGTTAGGTAGCACAGCGGTCTCATGTATGGGTGGTGTGTGTATCAATCTGGCACATCTGTGTTCTAAAATTTACAGCTGCGTGCCATTCTATTAAGTCTGATCTAAGCCAGGTGTGCTCTGCAGGCTTTGTACCAATGTTTTATGGTCTCTCGTGGTTCCGGTGCACTGCAGAAATCGCGAAGGCCTGGCTGAAGTTCTGCAGGGGCTCAAGTTGGCGGTGAGCGGGGGTGCCGGTGGTCAGGAGCAGAACAGCCCCTCCTGCAGCAGCTCTGACACAGAGGAGCCAACCAAACTGCCGCCCCCTTACACGAGTGAGACACTGTCCGTTGCTTGACCCTTGATGTGTCTGTGGGTTGCCTACATATTGATTCATTGGTTAAAATAACATTTTAGGTTGACGATATGTGAATCGGAATGTGTGTGTTACAATTGATTATTTAGAATGTGGAATCATCACGTAACATAGCATACGGTGCATTGACTCTTGTCTTCTTTACTGTGGCACCAGCGGCTTTCAAACTAGGGCAGAAGATGAAAGAAAACAAAGCGGAGACGGGCGACAGTGACGGGAAAAAGTTGGAGGAGGAGGGGGAGGAGGAGGAAGAGGAGGTGGCCCCAGCCAAGAAGGAACGGAGCGAGGTCGGGGAGAAAAAGGGGGGTGGTGCCTCTGGTTCTCCCGAGGAGGCAGAGGACGAGGAAGACTCGTCGCTCATGAAGGAAGCGGTGATCAAGCTGGAGCGCCTGGACGACACGATGCTGGAGAAGCTGTCGCAGGACACCTGCAAGGAGGAGACGCAGGCCAAGCTGCCCGTCAAGAAGCGCGAGCTGCGAATGCCCACCGAGATTTCCCCAGACGCACGGCCCTCAAAATCCGACGTGGACGGAGAGGCGCAGGCGAGCGGCGCTGATGCCGGTGGCGAAGGAAAGGGGGTGGCCTCAGAAGGTGGTGGCGCGCAAGGCACCACCGAAGGAGAGGTGGAGAATGGGCAGAACGGAGAGTTGGGCCGCAATGGAGGTGGTAGCGGCGGCGGTGGCAGCGGTGGCGATGTCTCAAAGGGCGGCTCGGTGGCACACAAGAGTGACGCGGAGAAAGATGGCGAGGACACTGCTGCTGCCGCGCCCACGACCAGGAAACGCGGCACCTCGGCCACCCACGCCGACAGGGTGAAGGATACAGAGAAGGGCGACTCGGAAGCAGTGGCGGGCAACCCCAGCAAAGTGAACGGGCAAGGCAGCCCCAGGCGCATCACGCGGCAGAGGAAGGCCGCCTCCGAGGAGGCCAAGAAAGCAGAGGAGAAAAGCAGCTCGGAGGAGAAGGTGCGTTAAGGCCGCTTCTTTCGGGCTCGGATTAATAGAAAACTTTTGTTTGTTTCTTACAGCACCCTGTTACAGCAGGGGTGTGCAACCCCTGGTCCTCTGGGGCCACAGTTCATTCTGGTTTTTATTTATCTACTTAATCGAGCGATTAAGTGAAATCATTATTTTATCGAATGAGATTATTTTTATTGTTGTCAGCTGTTAAGCAATTGTAGGTTTCAAGTTATCAACACATTCAGGTTTGTGGCATTCGAGGAGCAGAATTCGAGATATAAATCAAATAGATTTCTTGTACTTATACTGCTAGTGTCCTGCACTGTCTTATACGAGTTGGAATTCGCATTGAGCAGAAAACAGAGTAAATCATTGGCAGGTAAGCATGTATTTATGGTACTGCTTTACATCACTCACACGATGTGAATGCTTTGAGATACTGTAGTTGTAAACTCGTCTTCAGGATAAGGGCTTTGTCTTCCATTCAGGTATGTGTCTTCCTGCTTATCACATCGAACCAATATGTTTTGGGTCTGTGCATGGGAGTTACTCGGTGAATGGTTCTAATTGTCACGTGGTTAAAGCTGTTGCTGTTTTGCATGTGCAGGGGAGCAGCGGGGAGAGCGAGGGCGACGACGATGGCAGTGAGGAGAGCCAGGAAGAGCCCTCGGAGGGAGCCAACATTGATGACTCGTGCAAGCGCTGTGGGCTGTCAAGCCACCCCGAGCTGGTGAGAACACGACACAAAAACAACAGCATCCATATTTATGTATGTATGTAGAACTTATTTCGCATCGTACGTAACTAATTGGGAGGTGCGGGGGAAGGACAATAAGTGGTGGTGGGGACGTCACCACATTGCCTGTGCCGGGCTAGGTGCACTGATGCCACTGAAATGTCAAAGGGTTTCCCAGGTGCTATTGATTGACTGAGATGACTGGCAGTTACACCACCTGCTCTCCCCACTGACAACTTATTGCTGCTCATTCTTGTAAGTGTAGCTCCTGCACCCATCATTGTTGTTGGAGGGTGGCTACCTCCCAACAGCCCAGTAGCGTCCTTCACGAGCCTCCTCCATAGAGGTCGATATTGACACCGCTGGTACCAGTTTAACCCTTGGCTAACATTTTCCTATCACTGAATGGATTATATGAAATAGGTTATTCCTATGTACACAATTCTCCACGTATTTTGAGCATATGAATTGGTTTTAGTCGAGGAATATTTGTGGAATGACAACATCATATTTGAAGATAATGGTAACAGTGATGGAGAAGAAACATGTAATCCTATGAAAACTACATACAGCCATGACGATGTTGAAAACACCGATGTTAATAACTATTGCAATGTGTGCAGATCCTGCTGTGCGATGGCTGCGACGATGGGTACCACACTGCGTGCCTCCGTCCCCCGCTCATGCTCATTCCTGACGGGGATTGGTTCTGTCCATCCTGTCAACACGTAAGCACCTTCTCTTCCATCTGCACCACCACTCTTATTTCCTGGGCGACGGCATTCCTCTCTGCTGCTAAACTTACAATTCAACACGACTGTGTTATGTAGAGCTGAGCTGTCCAAATATTTAAATAATTTTGTTACTGATTGTTGGTTTAATTTGACTTTGCAGTGGATAATACAAAAATCATTGCGAGATAAAGTCTCACCTATTTAATTCTTATGAATAACGCTATTGCGTTTGACTCCTGGTGTGCTTCCTAACTTGTTCATTCATCTTAAAAATAGAATACTTTTCTTCACACACTCATTATTGAGATGCTATTACATTCAGAGTCTTCATTAATTCAAACTGCATTGTAGTTTTTCGTAAAATACATTTTTACTTTTGTTCTCTGCAAGTCCTCTGATGTGATTTGAGTTACGCCGTAAATTGAGGCAGAGTCACAGCAGTGGTTGACTGTGCTGCGTTGCCTCTGCTACTCCCCTCAATGCCGAGCAGAAGAAGCTTTGTGAGAAGATGGAAGAGGAGCTGAACCACCTGGACAGGATGGTGAAAAAGAGCAATCGTGCACAACGCAGGTAACGGCTGCGTTCCCAGCTCACTCACACTTCGTCGCGGTTTTGGTTCTACTTTGTCTTCCGACACGGCTCGGTTCAGGCTTGAGCTGCTATGTTGCTTTCGAAGATGCCCAAGCGGGCTCGGCCATAGTTTGGCCTGGGCTCAGCTCATTAGCATCCAGGGCATGGCTGTCAGACAATGCCCAGAGCCGGCTGAAATTAAACTACGTGTCGGAGCACAGTGCCATTAATTTACTCACAATGTGATGTGATGCATTGTCAATATTCAGGGTTAGGATTAAATTGACACAAATCTTGCTCTTGTTGTTTGTATCATGTCTATATTGTTTAAACGTGTATTAAAATAAACTGACAGTGCTGTTAGCCATGTACCAGTCAAGCAAAACTTGGCTCGTGTATTACACAACCCTTTTTGCGTTACTTTGTTTTAATAAAACTGATTTCCTGACATTTGTGCTTAATCTGATTCAAATTCACAAGTGTGTTTTTGTTTTTTTTCTGTCTTTGCAGAAAAGAGATGCTGACTTATGTTGGGATCAGCTCTGAGAATATCCTCCCACGCAAGGCAAGTTATGACGTACGTACAGCTGTTACAGATATTCTATTTGCATTCGCAAAGTATCCATTTATCATGCACAGTCATAGAGTTATATTGTAATACTTGGTCAGTTTCTAGCGTGTCTTTCTTGGGACGTGTTTTTTGTTATTAGTGGGATTTTCCAACACTTTCTTTTTGCGTCCTTGTTAAAGAGATACTTACACAGCAATCTTGTAACAATTAAACTGAGCAGCATCATCAAACTCTCCTAAGTTCCCAATGCTTTGATTTTGTTTCCAAAATTCTGCTGTTCTGCCGAATCATGTTTAGAACATTGTGAAGTTGTAATTATGGTCAAATTCCTGTGACAATACTAAGTGTCGTCTGCTTCAGAGTAGACATCAAATATGCCCCGACATCATTCGCATGCATGCCACCGTCAGGGTGCCAATTTACCAAGTATAAAATCACTCAATTGGGAATAATAACTCAAGTAAATTTTTTTTTTGTAGCAGGTAAAGGGATACTTACACAGCAATCTCGTAACAATTAAACTGAGCAGTAAGGCCCATTGAGCATTACAGCTCTTGTTTCAGAAATGACCTGGCCACAAATAGTAGCTCAATGAAGTGGCTTATAATGTGGAAGTTTATAGCAGCTAAATACTCTAAACACATGTATCTAAATGTGGAGGGAAGAACTGGAGGACGTAGAGAAAAAATCCACACTACCACGGGGAGAAGATGCAAACTCCGAATATACAGGCTTGGGCACCACATCGCTCAAAGGGATGATTGCTGATTGTCAAATATAACGATAGTGGTAGCCAAGGGATGTAACACGTCTGACAGCACGCCCACTGAGCGATGAAATCAGATCCGTGTGTAGGTGCTCGCTGAATTATTACATCGCAGAATCATGAGAGTTGGTAACGGCTTGGGGAATCTGTCATCCTATAGTGGACTGATGAATGATGATGATTGACGTGAGGGTTATTGTAGGCCACATGTTGGGCTTGTGAACATGATGCCACCTCGTGAGTAGTCGGTACAGGACGACGAGGACGAGGAGCCAGTCGGGAGGCAGCGCCTGGAGCGGCGGTCGAGTCGCGCCCGCAAGGCGGTGAGCTACGAGTACAAGGAGTTTGACGACGCTATCATCACCGCCATTGAGGAGGATATCAAGGAGGTTAAGGGTGAGCTTCTCCTACCGCTTCTGACCGTGTGCTATTGTCATTGAATCACTGCACTGATACGGTGATGTTCAGGAATTATATCTGTCTGTTCTGAGGAAGCATCACATGTTTTCACGAACACTGCAACACCTAAACACATTTTTACTGAACTTACCGCACAGATTACCAATGCCAGATCTGTATTGCTTTTGGGAAAAATTTCCAGCAACTATATTTGAAAAGTTTTTTTTATAAATAAGCATATCCGTGCGGTATGGGCACGTGCATGAGATTGCATGGCTGTAATTATGTATACCTGACGCACAGTGTGTCAAGCTCGATGTTAACTTGCGGGTATGCTCACATTGCAGAAGCAAAACGGAGGATGGCTATGGAGCAGGAAGCTGAGGATTCTGGGAAGGAGGAGGAGGAAGATGAGGAGGAAGAAGAGGGCAGCACTGGCGGGGCCTCAGCGGCAGCAGCAGGCGGAGCCGCACCCGCCTCGGGCCCTGTCCACCGCGGCAAGGACATCTCGACGATCCTGCGTGCCAGCGGGCGGCACAGCGGGGAGTCGGACGACGGCGCCACGGCCGCCGCCGCAAAACCCAAGAAGAGAGCGGCGGGCAAGAGCAGTGACGATGATAAGGACGAAGATAGCGACGAAGTTGACGGGCGTCGCGGAGTGGTGCGTGGTGCGCGTGGGCGCAAGCGGGCGCCCGCAAAGAGGAAGGCTCGGAGACTGACGGCCCTTGACAGCTTCGATGAGGAGAGCGAGGACGAGGACTACCAGGAGAGGTGCTGCACGTCGCCGCCACGACTTATTCCATGTCTTCGTTTTGTTAATCCCCGCCAACTCAGTAGGGGAAGACACGACAATTCGTAAACTCGATTAAGCGTGAACAAAACTTGAGTTTAAAATTGCGTTGCTATTCGTGGCTAATTGATGCATTTGGTTAACTGAAATACTAATTGCCATGTGAAATGCTTGTACATGTGATACATTTAATGATTATTGGGCTCGTCGTTTGAAGGCGCTTACGACGTAAATTTGGCCGCATTTACATGACCTAACCCAAAAATCTATTTTCAATAATAATGATATTGTCTGGGAAAACCTATACGTGTTAAATAAGAGAACGTGTTTTGTTTCCCCCGTGCAGTGGCACCGAAGTGGAGGAGCCGGATAACTGGGTGGATGAATTTGGCAGCGGTGACGCGTCCTCTGGCTCGGACTACTGGCAGAGCTTGTCGCGGCGGCCACGAAAGCCGCGGACGGAGCCGACGCGACGGAGTCAGAGGCTCAGGGGGCGTCCCATGGAGGAGGACAGTGGTGAGCGCCGCCTCTGTTGCCCCTCCCACCTGCCGGCGTCGGGATTCTAAATCCTTGCTGATTAGAGGCCGAATGTGGAAACTGGCCAAAAGAGTTTGCCTGTGTTTTGAACCAAATAATGCACTCGCATAGGGCCTCGTGGCCCAGAGGTCGCAACCGGGTACCCGATACCCGTACCCGGCCGGGTACGGGTACGGGTAGCCGTTTGCGACCCTGGTGTGGCCGGGTACGGGTAGGCCGTGAGTCACTGGTGAGTAACCGTTTGTCACTCATTTCGGGTAGGGTACGGCCGGGTACGGGTACCCATTTGTGACCCTGGTGCGGCCGGGTATGGGTACGGGTAAGGAATCAAAACCCGTTTGCGACCTCTGTCGTGGACTGATGGGATGTGTGAAAGATAACTTTAATTTTTCATGTGGGTTGTACAGATATGTAAGGCAGGTGTTGTTTGCTTATTTTCTGAATCCTTGGTTGCATTTTTATACACAACGATTTTGCATATGCATCCATCATACATTTGCCCTGACCAATTAACAGCCGACACCCAGTGCAGTATTTGCACGGTGTAATTAATTTTCCATGTTAGCAGTGAGCGCCATATTACACGTGTTCACATATCTCACCTTTCTGCAGTGTGATATTATATCGTCGAAGGTACGATCGAGTCTCATGACGCTGTACAAACAAATGCTCACAGAAGCGGGATTATCTAGAACTACCTCTTGAGATATCTCAAGTTACGATTCACACAGAAAGGGGCATCAACTATTTACCTGCTCTTCCACGAAGTCATTTTTGTCTCGTTACAAAGAATTATTTTAAATTCTCAAGAACTGGAATTTATCCAAATTACGTGCATAACTAAGTCAAATGTGATGGGATTGGATTTTAATGTAGTTCATTACAATTGAGAACCTCATTTTAATCACAGGCAGCTGCATGGATCTGAACCCAGCATCTCATCTGGTACAAGCTCCAGACCTGAGCCACCTACAATGTGATTTTAAGATATAATTTAATAGTTAAGATTTACTTGGCCAATGTGGATGCTGCATGGTATCACAGTGGCAAGATATTAACTATCTCACATGATTATACAGGATGTCATGGGTTCGATCCTGACCCTGACGCATGTATATTTGGAGTTGCATTTTTCCCCATGGTCGCTTGGTTTCTTTTCTGGGTCCTGTTCCCTCCACATTTAGAATCAACATGCACTAAGAGTATTTGGTTGCTATCATTTTCCACATCATAAGCCACTTCATTGAGCTGTCAATTGTGGCCAGGTCGCTTGTGAAAAGGAGCTACATAGCTCGGTGGACCTCGCCTGGTTTCTAGTTTATCAGTGCTTTTCTGTACGGGATATCATGGTTTCCTTGCATCTCACCGCAGACTTGGAGAGCAGCGACAGTGAGGTGGCGCGTGCCGCCCGCCGGGCCGGGAGGAACAAACGGTCGGAGCGACGCACGACTCCCGCCAGGAGAGGCACGCGGGGCAACAGGGCGATTGCTCGACGCAAAGGCGGCAGGAACGACTCGGACGCCAGCGAGTCGGACGCGTCGCACAAGAGTAGCCCCGTGGCGGCGCGCCGGGCGAAGGCCACCGCCACCCCACGCAAGCGGCAGACCCGCTCCTCGGAGAGCCACGGTGACTGTCGCAACACGCCACACGTGGCATTGCTGCAAGTGTTGTAGTGTGCTGGCGACCACAGTAGGCGTTCCCGCTGCAGTGCGCGTGCCACGTTGTTAACGCGCCTGGGATAGGGAAATGCGTTGCACGGTAACTGACACTTGCCACCGCGATGTGCTCGCCGTGGCAAATAAAGCCGACGAAAATACACGAGCCATAGGAATGTACAAGGCACGTCAAAGCTTCTACAATAACATGTGTGCCACAGTCACTAATGCAACACACTGTCACCTTGCGTCTGCCATGAGAATCGCCACATCGGCCATGGCACCAAGTGTGCATGTGCATTGGCACTGCATATCCACGTGACTTTACTGAAAAAACCTAAGAGTATGAATCCTTGCAGTCACGAAAGCTTCAAATCTAGAACTGCATATCCATCTTGTGAGGTGCGTTAAGGTGGGTATTTAGTGCCAGTTTTTCAATTGTGATTGCATAAAGCAATCGTCATAATTACAACTGGCAGTCTAATGCCCGATTGCGGGTCGTGTGCCCTTTCAAATGTTTGAAGTAACGTGATGAGACACACCAGTATAAATACCGTTATATAAAAAATTATTGCTAACGCCTGCTCCACTCTTGCTCCCGCAGAGAGCGCCAGCTCAGCCAGCGAGCGCCCAGTGCGGAAACGCAGGAGAGCCGCACCAGCTGCACGGGCTCGTAGCTCTGACGAGGAGGAGGAGGAAGATGAGGAAAAGGCAGGTCAACGAGCCAAGCCTGCTGGGTCTCGGCAGCGGCGGGCATCGGGTGCTGGCGGTAGTGCACAGCGACGTCAAAAACGGCCGTCGAGCGCCCGTGCCCCAGTCCGCACGCCCAAGCGCAAACGCGCTGCTCGGAGCGGCCGGACCACGACTGGCGGTGCCGGCAGCAGCAGCGAGGAGCACAAGGAGGGCAGTGGTGGCGGTGGCGGCAGCGGCGAGAGTGGAGAAGATGCGGACGAGGCGGCGATAGCGGCAGGAAAAGCGCAGCGTGCGCGGGACGCCCGGCCCAGGAGGCCCCGGCGGGCAGCAGCCGCTCGTGGCACAAAGGCGGCGGCGGCGGCGGCGGCAGCGGCGGCGGCCTGCGTCTCCTCCGGGGAGGGCGAGGGGGCGCCACCGCCCCCCGCAAGGGCCTCGCGGCGCGCGGGCGCTACCAAGGAGGGCGGAGGCGGCGGTGACGACGACGAGGATGTGGCGGACGACCTCCTCGGGGTAGAGGATCTGGTGGACTATGTGACGGGAGAGTAGTGTAACGGCGGCGCGTTTTAATAACTGAAGAGAAATAGACAAAAACGAAGGTGGTGGTGATGATGATGATGTCGATTTAGCTGTGATCACCGGGTCTTTGAGCAGCTGGGGCTGGCTTTGCCGAGCTCTTCTTAGTTTTTCTATTCATACTCCGACGTGTGATATTTGATCAGTTTTATTTCCTATTCGCCGACTTAGCCCTGTACAAAATTTGCTAAATTCCTGTAGGCGTGAAGTCATGAATAGGTCCTGTACACATGCCCGCATAAAGCTCCCAAATAGTCCCTTTCTGATCAGGAGCCTTTTAATCGTATAGGTAGTTGCTAGTTTTCGCAGAATGAACGACCACGTGGCTTTTAAAAAGTCCCGCCGGTAAGTCATGATATGTACATGCGGTGTTGTGCATGTGTAAGCCTCGAAATTATCTGCTGAGTGGTGTTTGTGCACCGCTGAAAATGGATTGGTGTTGTGGTGAGATGATGCTTATAAGACACGTGGTTGTGCGTCTGGTGTGTACATATAAACCTGGCCCTCTGCACTGCTATGTGTTGCTGATTACAACTTTTTTTACTTTTGCAGAATTACAGAGCAGATTTGGAACGATTGTTTTTAACCGTTTGTGCTTAACTTTGCAGAGGTCGTGCAAAGAGAGCAAATTCTATTTGTGGGCAAAGTAATTCAGATGGAACGGCTATCGGAAGTGATAAAAATTGGACAGTGTGGTCTCATAGCATGGTGTTTGAGTGAACTGTTCTGTTTTAATGTGCTCTACTTTGTGTAACTTTGCATACGTGAAAACGCTAGGATGTCCAAATGACGGAGTTGTGTTTCCCACTTCCAGGGAAACAGGTGAAGCGTTCGCCAGATGCTGTGGCTGGTGTACAGAGGTGCATGGGACCGTGAGATGAAAAAGAGCTCCTTGCAGGACACATTGCTCCCCCCACTGTCCATTGAGACAAAACCTGTGTGTGTGTGAAACCGAAAAGTTATTAGCGTTATTCATAGTTGCATTCATACTCATAAGCAGTTTTGAGAAGAAACGTGGAAAATATAAAAAAACTTATATGTAACAACTTAGCCTAAAACTTTTTGAAGTTAAGTGCGACACTTATCCAAAGGTGGTCAGATGAAACAAAGTGTTGACTTATTTGGACTCTATTGAACAGTGGTGGTTAAAAGTCCACCATACAGGTGTTTAAAATCCAAGTTGTCAACTTTTTTCATTGTTTATTTTTTGAAAGATTTAATTTGGTTTTTTCTCATCGTTTTTTATCTGCACGCTTGTAGAGCAGAATCGCTTACAAATTGTTTTCTGTCACTGACGACTGCTTAAGTTGCAAATTAAAGCTTTTTACAGTAAAACGAAACAGTATGCCTTTAAGTAGTCACATGAACCACAGCTAGTGTCCTGTGTTATTACTGTATTGTAGCAACGATGTATTTATAACGGTGTCGCGTTATGATAGTAGCGATGCTGTGATGTCGGTATTCACGTGTCAACCCCTATGGATAATTCTTTTATATATCCGTTTTAAATGTCCTCATGGAACATAATGAGTTACACTGGCTGTGTCCTTTTGCGTGGTAGTAGCATCACCCCCCGCACTGCAAATAAAAACAGTCGTCAGCATTTTGCTTGCTTGATCCTGCCTCTTTGCCTGTGTTGTGTGGTTTGCGTTCACTTCAGCTGTGTTTTTTTTGTTCTAACTTCCCCCAGTAGTTTAAGGGCTGATGCATGTGTTGGCAAATGTGGCTTTTCCTATTTTGTTTTATTAAAACGGGCCAATGATTTCCCACAATTTTTAAAAGTTTCTTTGACATGGCAGTGGGGCGGAGTGGTGATGCAGGGGTTTGTGTCCTGCACTATGAACCCGACAACTTGAGTTTTGTTCCTGATTAACTGGTTCTGCACCCACCCCCTGCCCCCCTCTCCAAAAACCTGCACTGACCAGCCAGGTGAAGTAAGGTCAAACGACTAACAATGTGGAGGCCTTCATCCAGCAGTGGATTGAGTTAAATTGGTGACTAAGAGAAATAGGAAATGTAAAGAAAATTATCCTAATAAGCAGATGGCTGCCAATTGAGGTTGCCTTTTTTCAGTAAGGTTGGCATGACTTTTATACAAAACATAATTATTCGTACAATTCAAGTATTTTACATTTGGAACAATATGAGCACATCCGTGATGAAAATTGCCCATGTAACTGTCTTCAAAGCCCTTTTGAAAAATAGCCAGGTGATTTCCCAGTGATTTTCTTAAATCAAACCTATGTTTACTCCAAATTATGTTCCTTATTTGGGCATCGCTCAACTGCTAATCATAACCTATTCTCATCAGCTAGGTGGTTGTGGTCGTGTAAGCCAATACACCATGGCCTCCAGAACATTGGTGGAACACGTGGTATATCGACTGCTGGATGAGGGCAGCCAGGTGTCAAAAAGTTCGTGGGGTTGATTGAACCAAACTTCACATTTCACCATGCTGGTCAGTGGGTTAGTGAAGGTAAGCACTACAATTGATTTTGCTGCACTACCCAAAACGGTGCCCTGCAACTTATAACACCTGCTATGGACGTTGGTTGCCCTTGGAACGACCCAGAACCCATTTCTGCTTAACTTCAGACCTGATGGTGAGATCAGATGCACTGCGGGTAATTTAGTCATACGGACCCATTATGTATAAATTGTGTTTCCTATAAAATAATAAACCAATAAGTTGTAAGTCTATGTCCCATTCCGGGGTAACTCAATCAAACCATCCCCAGAGTAACTGTATTGCCATTCACATGCTGGTGGTATCACCATAGTTGGCCATGATGTCCGGTAAGTCAGTGGTGGTTCTATGGATAGACGAGACCTGGCCAAAAGAACATGGAATTTCCACCCATCTATACCGTATTAGGTTTATTACAAGTACAATATGTAATTTACGAAACGTGACAATTTAGTACAGTACGTCCTCGGCAGAACACATTGAGATGGAATTGGCCAAACATCCCAATGCAGAACCCACTCATGCGTTCCTGGATGACTTAATAACATTCATATTAAGTCGATATAAAGTATAAACAAACAAAAAATATATGCAAATACCTCTCCATATTTTGTAACTTTTGTTGATCAGGGAGAAAATATCCCGCCCCTCCCTAAGATGCAGTGATGGCCTCGTGTTGCTGAGTCGTATACAATTAAGTCGCGGGCTGTGTTTCAGCCCACCGGCTGAGATAGCTACCGGCCATGTGAAATTAAATTAACTCCGGAGGTCGTGGGTTCGATTCCGACCGCTGACGCCTGCTGCTGTGTATTTGGAGTTTGCATGTTTTCCTTTCCCAGTGGTCGTGCGAATTTTTCTCCGGGTCCTCAACATTTAGAATCAACGTGCATTGTATTAGTATTTGGGCTGCAATACATTTACACGTGACGATAAGCCACTTCGTTGAGCTATTATTGGGGCCAGGTCGCTTCTGAAAAATAACCTAAGAGCTCCATTGGCCTTACCTGATAAAATATAAAAACAGGCAACTTCACTAAGCATTTTTCGTTCCTGCATTAAGACTCATCTTTATTCAATAGCGTATGCCTCTACTACTTCCTTTCCTCGTCCTTAAAACATTCGCCATCCCCTTCCAAATCTCGCCAGCCCTCCCTTTCCCTATCATCACCTTCCCTTACCATCCCTTCCCCTCTCCAACACTTAAACCCCGACCCTTTTACCCCAATCAGACAATATGAATGTACCATTTATATTTCGATTTAAGCTTTCGCGACTGCATTTATAAGTCTTTATGAAATCGCTATGTATATTAAAAAAAAGAAATCCTAACTAAGGGGCCGTCCATAAATGACGTCACGCATTTTTGTACGATTTTTGACCCCCCCCCATTCATCACACGGCGTCACAAAAAGTCAGACCCCCCCTCAAATATGACGTCACAAAGCTCTGCCCCCCCCTTCCTCCAAATAAAACATGCTTCAAATCGCTTTAAACTATTGTCATTGTAGTGCGTATTTAATGTGGCGCTGCACTCTGATGTTGTAGGAGAAAACATTTATTAAAAAGTCTATTTAATTAAGTAGAACGCGTTGTCTATATTTATTTAAAGTTGCGCATTTTGATGTGACGTCACATTTCTCACCCCCCCCCCTCGTCACAAATGTCTGACCCCCCCCCCCCCAGGTGCGTGACGTCATTTATGGACGGCCCCTAAGCCGCCGAACGAATAAAACAAAGTAAACCCGCCGACGTAAAATGGAGCAGGGGCCGATAGGAGGCACAGCCCCGCCCCCACGTGGTCCCCCCGCCCCCACGCGGCCCCCCCCCCACGTGGCGCCCCGCCCCTACGTGGTCACCCCGCCCCCACCCCCCCACGTGGTCCCCCGCCCTCACGAGGCCCCTCATCCCCACATGGTCACCCCGCCTCCACCCGCCCCCACGTGGTCCCCCTCCCCCACCCGCCCCCACGTGGCCCCTCATCCCCACGTGGTCACCCCGCCCCCACCCGCCCCCACGTGGTCCCCCTCCCCCACATGGTCACCCCGCCTCCACCCGCCCCCACGTGGTCACCCCGCCCCCACCCGCCCCCACGTGGCCTCCCTCCCCCACGAGCCCCCCGCCCCCACGTGGTCCCCCTCCCCCACGCCCCCCACGTGCACAGTTCCGGGTTGAACCCCAAGAATCCCGACCACGTGGGCGTGACGCGTGCGGCCTCGCTAGTTCCGGCGGCTTTGGCGCTAAAACTCCGTCGTTGTTGTTGCCCCTCTCGGCATTTAAACCTCGATTTTAAACACGACCCGACCCCCTCTCACGCAATTACAACAACCGCTGTTCTTTTAGGTCGCCGCTAAACAATCCTATTGACGCCCAAGAGCGATTGCAATTTCTCAGCTCCACGTGTATTCACTTTTTATTATTTCGTCGCCGAGTTAACGCGCGATTCGCCGCTGCTGCTGTCTTCAAAGTGCGAATTGTTGAGTTTCCTCGGTAACGAACGCGATAGTTGCTCACTCGTGCGATGGTGCTCATGCTGAGCGAGGTGGCTCTGCCGGACGACGGCGTGAAGCACCAGGAATCGGCGATGTCGCTGTTCGTGAACGGAGAAGACGCGGGCAGCGGCGTCTTGTGCGTGGCCGAGAGGTACGGGGTGATCCTGGTGATGGCGAATCTGTGATGGTGATGATGGTGAATCTGTGATTGTGGTGGTGAATCTGTGATTGTGATTATCCTGGTGATGGTGAATCTGTGATTGTGATGGTGGTGATGATGAATCTGTGATTGTGATTATCCTGGTGATGGTGAATCTGTGATTGTGATGGTGGTGATGATGAATCTGTGATTGTGGTGATGGTGAATCTGTGATTGTGATGGTGGATCTGTGATTGTGATGATTAATCTGTGATTGTGATGATGAATTTGTGATTGTGATGGTGAATCTGTGATGGTGGTGATGGTGAATCTGTGATGGTGGTGATGGTGAATCTGTGATTGTGGTGATGGCGAATCTATGATTGTGGTGATGGTGAATCTGTGCTTGTGATGATTGTGAGTCTGTGATTGTGGTGATTGTGAATCTGTGATTGTGATGATGGTGAATCTGTGATTGTGATAGTTGTGATGATGGTGGTGGTGAGTAGCGGATTTGCGAGCTGCGCTACGAACCCCGCGAACCGAGTTCGGTTCCAGCTCGTGGCCATCACCACCAGTGACGATTATCTGAACCGGTCCTGGGCCACCTCCCCTAGGGTCGACTCGGCCTCAAATGAGTACCTGGTGCGGTGTGTAAACGTCGCCACTAGGGAGACAAAGGCGGCCGGGCGTGGTGCTGGCCACCCCACCCCACGTGTATCGTTCCGGCCTTCATAGGCGCTCGGTAACCGCACTTGCCCAAACAGTCTGTTGAGGCTATACGGGGGAGGGGGGATCTTTGTCTTTGGTGGTGATAATTATTGTGAATCGGTGATAATGGTGGTGGTCATAGTGGTTTTTTATTTGTAATGTTTATGTTGATAATGTTTATGTTGATAACTTCGCGGTGGCTACGAGATGTTAACTACCTCGCCTGGTGTACAGGATGTCGTGGGTTAGATCCCGACCCTGACGACTGCTGCTGCTGTATATTTTGAGTTTGCATGTCTCTCTCTCTCCGTGGCCGCGTGGATTTTTCTCGGGGTCCTCCGGTTTCTCTACACACTTTAGAATCAACAACGTGCGTTCAGAGTTTGGTTGCTATACATTTCCACATGATGAGCCACTTCGTTGAGCTATCATTTGTGGCCAGGTCGCTTCTGAAAAAGAGCCTCGGTAAAATAATTGATGTTAAGCATGATGTGCACATCTTGACCTGAAGAAGGCACAGACAAAAATACCACATCCTCTTATATGGAAGATGCATAACCCAGAATTTTGAGTCCATGGCTATCCAAAGAGTGTCTGTGTAATGGGGGTGGGGAGTGAGTTTAAAGTTACTGTTAGGGAGATGGTGGCACGCGGTGGGTCTCATTGCTGAGAACCTGGTTTCGAATCCGGGTGATGCCCGTAATTAAAGTGGCTTCTCAAGTCTTGCAAGGCGATGGTCACAGCCTGATCACCATTGACCGCACACAAACGTTACGTTTGGGTGTTCACTACACTTGTCTAAATTGCACCCGTGGGATTATTTTAGTTTCGTTGTACGGGAGATGAACACTTCCAGTAAAATGCGTGGTGGCGTCGTTGGGGATGGCTTTCTCTCGAGGTGGTGCACTGCTCACTACTCGCTGTGAGAGCTCTGAGTAAAAGTTCCTTTGAAAACTCTGGGATTTAAATGAGAAATTAGCTCTTCGTTGGACAGGGCTCTCCCATGCCTCCCCACCCTGCAGCAATTTACATGTGTATCCGGGTTAGCCGTGTAATCGAACCTGTAATATAATCGGTGGAGGCATCGATAATTATTTAAATAACAGGGTTGCTCAGCTGTAATGCCCAGCGCATGGGCACCCGAGATGGTCGTGTGAGGAGCGGTGGCGCAGTGGTTGGGTAGTGTATTGCCCTGCAAACAATACGCTACAATCCCTGTGACCTGGGTTGGATACCCGCTCACATCCAACATCACTGACGAATATCTGAACCGGTACTGGGCGTCTCTCCTAGGTCGACTCAGCCTTAAAACGAACACTTAGGGGGCCATCAATTTAGTAGGTACGCAAAAATCTGCCAAAACTTGACCACTGCACCCCTACACCCCTCCCTGTACGCATGCGTACTTTTTACCCCCCCCCCCCCCCCCCACTTGCGTACGTACGCTTGACGCACCCTCCCCCGAATCCTATATAACGATCAAAGATTAATAATATGAACGTGTTCAAACAAACAGATAGTCCACCGCCGGACTATCTAACTCATTTGAAGGCCAATGTAGACCCCCTCCATGCGTACGTTCTAAATGGATGGCCCCTAGTGTGGTTTGTTAAAAAGGACATCGCTGTTAAGACAAGGGTAGCCGCACCTCCTATTAGCACGGTTGGCTACGTGTGGTGCGAAAGAAGTTCTACATACATACATACATAGCCGGGCACGGCGCCGGCCACATCACCCCTCTTGGTGTCCCTGTCCGGCCTTCATGTAAAGGTGCTCGCTCGCAGCGAAGCTACGCTGCGTGGATTCTTTGTCTCTGTGCGTTGACGGTTTGCGTCGTTTCCACAGTCGGCTGGCATGGCGCGACGCTCAGGGCCACGGCGTGTCGGTGGAGTACCCGCGCGTGAGCCTCCACGCCGTGTCCCGTGACCCCAACACCTTCCCGCAGCACCACCTCTACGTGATGCTCAACGGCAAACTGCGCGGTGAGCGTGATGGCACGGGCAGTGGGGCTGCGTGCCCCCTCCACCTCTTGCTTTCCGGAATCGTCAAATCTTGTTTTTTTTGCGGAGTGGCCTTGCCTAGAGAGCAGGGAAAATAAACACAAAAATTAATGGAGAGATCGAACGGCTGGGCGACCACTGCATCACTGTCATCTGCAGGTCGCAGATAAGCAATGAATATTGAGCGAATAACAGCGTGTGTGCAAGAGTTTGTGTTTGGGGAGCGGTAGGGTAGTGGTTAGTGCGGTGCGCTACGAACCTGGCGACTACGAGTTAGATTCCCGCTCATGGCTAACGCTCGTCACTATAAATCCGAACCGATCCTGGGCCTCCCCTAGGTCGACTCAGTCGGTGCAGTGTATAAACATCGCCCCCGGGGAGACAGGTGTGGTGCTGGCCACTCACCCCCTCGTGTACCTGCCTGCTTTCATAGGTCCTCACTAACAGCACTTGCCCCAACAGTCTACTAAGGCTATACATGGGGGTCTTTGTCTTTGCGGCAAATGGACGGCAACCGCGCCGTGGAGCAACACGGCAGGAAAAGTTTGCCGCCAGGGCCGATATTATTAAATTGAGGTTGATTGTTTGTCATACATATATATTATTACACTTTTAGTTCGTCGTTAATCCAACATCGCTGTTCGGCGCTCTTGTCGCCCTGGCTCTCGTTTGCGAACGCAGCTGAGTGTGCTGCGGGCGACGGGGCGAAGGGCGACGACGAGGAGGAGGAAGACGACGACGATGATGACGACGACGACCCCATCACCGAGCTCCGCTTTGTCCCCAGAGACTCGTCCTCATGTACGTCCCGTGACCGCGTGGCGGTTTAGCTCTGTTAGTACGTTCAGTACCATGCCTGAGGTGCAGTACCACACCTGGGGGTCCGGTTATGGTCACAATGGTTCAACAGCAGCAACAACGGCATTATTTGCTGAAATTACAATTGCATTGTGATTGCTGTTCATTATAAATTACACAGTTGTGATCAATCCGTTAGGTACGCTGTCAATCTCTTGGCTATCGGTTGCCCTTAATCCGTTTGCGTTGTTATTAGACAGTAATGGCTCTTTGTTGTAAATGTAACTTAGGCTCTGGTGCTGGTTGAAGGCTGTGTTCGTTGTCCGAGTGACGGTGGTGGTGTTGGTGTCGACAGGGGTGGTATTGACACTGTTGGATGTAAATGTAACGTGTGGGGCGTTTCGTCCCATATTTAACAACAGTTTAACAATTTTACTTCTGTGATCTGACCCAGAAATCAATTATGCAGCATTGCTTGTGGTGATATTAAGGACTGTAGGTGATGGTGGTCTACCTAGAGAAGAGAGTGATGTGGTGCTGGTCCTCGTGTTAATTGTGGTGATGGTAATGACAGTGTTGATAGTGGTGGTCCTGACTGTTGTTGTTGAGGGCCTTGATGTGGATGGTGCTGATGATGATGTGAGCGGGGACATTGAGGGTGGTGTTGATGGTGTTGACGATGTTTCTACAGTGGAGGCGCTGTTCACCGCCATGTGTGAATGCCAAGCCCTCCATCCTGACCTCGACGAGGTTCTTTCAGAGGATGACATTTACGACGACAATGTTGGAGGTCTTAAATGCACTCACTAGCTCACTCACCCGTCCATCCATATACTTACTCTCTCACTTGCTCGGTCACACTCTCACTATCTCAACCACTCAAGAAGCCTAGTCACTCGCCCATCCATCTACTCACTTTCGCTTACTTAATTTCTTAACCGGTTACCTACCCACCCACCCACTCACCCACTTGCCCATCCATCCGCACCTCCAATTAGCACGGTTGACTATGCGGTGCAAAATAAGTTCTACAGACATACATACTCTCACTAAACTGCTCACTTATCCATTCACTTTCTCGCTCACCCACCCACTCGCTCACCCACCCACTCGCTCACCCACCCACTCGCTCGCCCACTCACTTGCTAACCCACTCACTTTGTGACTCAACGATCCACTCTCGTACACTCAAGAACCCACTCAATCACCCACCCATCCATTTGCTCACCCACTCACTCGCCCTCTTACCGACATCCAGCCAAGCAAGTGCTGCCAGTTGTGAACCCTGCTTTCTATGTTTGCGATTCTTTAACGATGTACAGCTCGTTGTATCGCGACTTGGGGATTGTAGAGTGGTGCAGCGGTAGCACATGTGCCTCGCAGCATAAAGAACCCGAGTTCGATTCCCAACACGGGTGCCTTTTCTTGCAGAGTTTGTACAATCTGCCACTGTACTGCATGGGTTTCCTCTGGGTTCTCGCATAGTAAAAAAAAAATCATTGCAACTGGTATTGGCCAAACTTCCCAATGCTGATAAATTACCGGCAAATCAGTTGGGATCAAACACAACAACAACATCGCCCCCTACTGCGAAAACTAGGTAACACCCTCCTGAAAGTGATTCCTGAGACTCTGTGAGGCTCTTCCAGGTAAACAATCTTAGCAGTACAAATAATAATAATAATACACCTATTTCCAACCTCTCTCTCTAACCGTGACCGATCGCCTCTCTCCGCTTGCCTTCGCTTGCGCCGCAGAGGGGGACACGGGCAACGGGGGGCGGCAGGGCTGGTATGGGGACCAGGAGGGGCTGGGGATGCTGACAAACACAGGCCGCGCCGCGCTGGCGCACCTCGACGGCCTCCTGGCCGACGCGTCGGGTCGGGCGCCGTCCTTCGGCATGGGCGGCGTGCGCGAACGCAACGGCACCGAGCCTGACGGTGAGAGACGGAGCCTCGCCAAGGGGACCCACCACTACCGCCGCCGTGGCAGCTGTCTGTGTGCGGCACAAGATCATCCCCCACCCCTTGGCGACCCCCACCCCCTGGCAACCCCCACCCCCTGGAAACTGTCGGCAACTTGTTGCAGAGATTCGCGGTTCACATCCGGCAGGCTGCCCTGGTTAATACTGCGGGTGTGTTAACGATAATACTTCGCTCACGGTGAACATAAAAAGAAATCCCCTGGCGTTTCAAAACAAGCGTGATGGTCCAATTTTACCAAATTTGAAAAATGACACCTGCAAATTATCCATAGTAATCGTCCTCCCTCTTCTAGCAGACACTTGCAGCTCAGGTGCTGAAGTCACCTTGTGCTGCACAGGGACAGCTCCCGCTGGGGGTGCCCTTTGAAGTGTTTTTTAAGATGAGACTCGATGTAATTCTCTCGTCGCGCTTGAGGTGCTCTTGCGACGCCCCAGCGTCTAGGGCCCTCTTTGTCAAAACCAAATCATTATGATTCCGTCTCTTCCCTTTGCATCCATCCATTTCAGTGCCTTGTTGTAGGGGGGGGGGACCCCTGTGGCAGCTGCCCCTAGTGTGGCAATCGGCCTGTTCTGGGGCGCTAGAGCCTGCCAGCAGGGGGTGATGTAGCCAGCTGGCCTTTCTCAATGAAGTGATTTGCACGACACCCGATTACGTTCCGCTCGTAATACGAGGTGATATAAATATGAAAATGTGCTCCACTAGCACTGCTTAATTGCAGCTTATCCGGAGCACTGGTTACATGTTTAATGCCTGGCGAGAGCTTAGACAGTTAATCTGTTCTATACTCTTTGGTTCTTTCGGTAAAGCCACGTAGAAAAATAATAATTAATTACTATTTAGGAATGATTATTTTTCTACGTGACTTTACCGAAAGAACCAAAGAGTGTGAATTCCTGCAGTCACGGAAGCTTCAAATCAAGTTCATTTGTTAAAAGTGGCAGCTTCCTCCAGTGGGCTGACGATCCTGCCTCAGTGGCAGGAGCCCCTCCCATGAGGTCTGTACGTGACATTAAGCTCAGCCCATCGCCTGCCATCCAGCGGCACATGTTTATTTCCCCCCCCCCCCCATCTATTTTCTTGCTGTCCGGTCGGGTCGAGCAAGCCAAATCGATGTTCGGTCGAGACAGCGATTAATTCGTGCGGAAATCTGGAGAGCCTGGCTCCACTTGCGTCGCGCGATTCCTTGTGACTGTGACGACTGGATGGGTGGAGTTGACGGAGCGTGCTTGTGTTCCCTCCCCTCCCCTCCCCCACCACCACCACCATGGTGCCCAGCAGATGGCATGGAAGTCGATGCAACATCACAGATCCCCCCGCACGGAGAGACCGGGCAATTCGACGACGCCGACGATGACGTCTAGAGGCGGTGAGTGCCGCCCCCGAGCCTCGGAGACAGCATCATTTCGATTTAAAGCTTTCGTGACCGCAGAGATTCATCTTCTTGGTTCTTTCGGTAAAGTCACGTAGAATGGAAATAATAAAATAATATAATAAAAATAAAACATAATAGAATAATTCTCACGACGTTTCGGCCACAATGCAATAGGACGGCTGCTTGCGTTGTTGCCGAAACGTCGTGAGAATTATTTTATTATGTTTTATTTTTATAATATTATTTTATTATTTCCATTCTACGTGACTTTACCGAAAGAACCAAGAAGACAGCATCATTGTCATCGTTGGCCATTGTCTATCCACTGTTGGATGAACGTCTCCGCATCTGATGGTCTGATGGGGTTCAGCGCAGGGTCCAGTGGATCATGGGAAAGTTGAAACAGCAAGGAGGCTCTTTTGTGGGGTTGGCAATTTTGTGTTGGAGTCTCTGGCTGTGTCCCGGGTTTCTCTCCCCAGTTTATTGGGGCTATGGGAACTTCCGCTTCATCTAAACCCAGTTCATAATCTAAACTTAACCCAGTTCATAATCTAAACTAAACCCAGTTCATAATCTAAACTAAACCCAGTTCATAATCTAAACTAAACCCAGTTCATAATCTAAACTAAACCCAGTTCATAATCTAAACTAAACCCAGTTCATAATCTAAACTAAACCCAGTTGCGCCACTTTGCGAGGCAGTGCTCCCTCTGTGCTTTGCTGCTCTTATTGTTCGAATATTCCCTCCAACAGATCAGTGGGGGTTGGGGGGGGGGCGTGTGAGGCGTGGCTCTCTTTCGTTACATTTGGTGGTGACCTGATCTCTCCATGCAGTGTCCATCGACATCGATGCTTATTTTGGTGCTTTGCCGTTGCCAGGTGGCTTTCAAGTCTCGGCTTCTGCCTGGCGATACTTGCACCACACGAACCGACCACGCCCCCCACTCCCCCCCCCATTCCCCCCCCCCATTCCCCCCCCCCCCGACTGGACATCCTCATGAGTCCCCGTGCCCGTCAGTTCTTCCACTACCGCCGTCTCGAGCCTCGCCACCGCTGAGCGTCGTCCCTCTGGCACGGGGGTTTCAAGTGAAGCGTCGCTGTCGTCCGTTCGCGGTTTCCGCGTGGGGGGGGGGGGGAATTTAAACTTTCGCTCATTCCCCGTCCTCCTACACCTTCACCGAAAGGCTCGTGCAAAAATGTTCTGGCCAGGATTTTTTTTTTTGCACTCGGCCAATCCGGGAAAGGCATCGTGCGTCGGTTGCGTTGTCGGGCAGCAACGTTGCGAAGTGGGCCGAGGATTTATCTCGCGCGGAGTAATGGTGGAGTAATGTACGCCGTCGACCGGTAGAACTGTGTGGTGTGTTTTTTTCAGACGTGTTCTTCTCGCGCTGTTTGATATTGTGGTTCGCCGGTTAAACAGCATTGGATTGCGAACGAGCGGTTAGCTGTGCGTGTATAACTTCTCTCGCACGGTACTAGCCAACCGTGATAATCGGAGACGTTTGTGCGAGTGCGCGTGTGCGTGTGCGTTAAAACCTTCCCTGCGAGTCCGTGCTCTTGCCCGCTGCGAACTTTTGCTCCCAGCCTCACTTTTGCTGTGAACCCCGACAGATGTCAATGTAAGTTTTTGTTGTTTCCTTACGAGGTTAATAAAGGGGTCTATTTTGTACGAGAGCCCGGGCGCTTTTGTCAGATTTTCACGAATGCTTGCGAAGATCAGCAGGAGGCACTGCAGCTGCGATGTTTACTCCATTTCGTGACGTGGGTGGGCGTGGTGGGGGTGTGGCTGGTGGGGGTGATAGTGGGTGTGTGGGTGTTGGGAATAGTGGTGGTAGTGTGGGTGATGGTGGTAGTGCGAGTGATGGCGGTCGTGGAGGTGGGCGGGCGGTAGTGTTATTGGCAGTGGGGGTAATGGTGGCAGTGGGGATAGTGGTGGTGGTGGTAGTAGTGGTGATAGTGGGAGTAGTGGGGGTGGTGGTGGTAGAGGTGGCTTTGGTGACAGTGGGAGGAGTGGGGGTAATGGGGGTGGTAGCAGGGCTAGTTGGTGGTGGTGGTCATGTTGTTTTGCTGAATGTAAACTGGACCCTGATGTTGTTGGGGGACATTGAACTTTGCCCCAGTGAAGTCTCCGCGCCACTCTAACTGGAGCGACGCCGCTGGGTGTTAGAGGGGGGGGGGGGTGCAGGGGGCGGTCGCTCAAAATTAAATTGATTCAAAACCGTACGCAAATACATTCCACAGGATCGAGATTAGCAGCGTGCCGATTACAGATTTGCACCCTGCGCTCTTCGTGCACGGCACGCGAACCCTGGTAAACTTCGCAGCATCGGCTTTTGGCTAACGATCGAACAAAGATGGTCACCGCATAGAGCGCTTTCAGATGCGCTTCTGCGGCCGTCTAGGACGTTCTTCCGACATTCGGAATCCACTGGAGCAGTGCACTTTTAAATCTAGATTGAAAACTAAATTCTTTAGAACTGCTTTTTGTCCTCAGTTTGTCCTTTCCCCCCCGCGCCTCCGATTATCACGGTTGGCTACGTATGGTGCGAAAAGTTCAACATCCATACCGAGGGCGGCACGCATTTTGTCACACCGATGCAGACTTGGCGTGTGGCAGCGTGCGAGGAATCTTGGGTAATGGCTGCGGAAAGCACACAAGCTGCAGGGTGGCAGCTCACCGGCTTGAGAAACGCCTCGGGTTATTGAACGATGGCACGGTGGTCGAAACTAACGCCTGTGGGCAGCCACAGAGAGGGAACGGTGCCCCGTGAGCACTTCCACCGTGGAGATGGAGCGATTAAATGAGTTCGTGTCCAGGTGCTTTGGTGAATTGTTGCACGGCAGGACTACCACGTGTTGGTGATGGTTCGGGGTTGCCTTCGTGCATCAGTGGATTGATCATGGCTGATGATGAATGTGTGAAGGGATCCTTGGTAATAACTCGCAAACGAAACACATCGAACCCGCACAGCGATGTGCACGAGCAGTTGCTGGCTGCATCTTTAACCTTTATTACCACCGTGTGCGCCCATCGATCCGACCGCGACGCGTGTGCCAACGCGCTTGCGTGTTGCGCAATTTTTTCACGAGTTGCCACGTACGGCATTTCAAAAGTGCAGTTTAATTAAAAAAGGTGGGGGGGGGCTGTACATTCTCACACTCCCGAGGAACATGCGGAAGGATGCTGCAAACTTCACGATGCCCCGACAACGCCGAGCGAAGTCGCAGCTCGCAGGAGGCCCTCTGATACTTGCCCGTGTAGTAAGTTAACAAGGTACAACGACGAGAGTCGTTCACGGTTTGATTACGAAAATAAGACCTCGTGCGTCGTCGCCGGATTTGCGTTAATCGCCGGACGCGTCACAGGTTGCGTGCGTCAAACAGCCCCCCCCACCCAGTGCGTTTCGTGGGGGTCGTGGCACCGAGTCTGGAGTTTGCTCGGTTACGCAAAGTCACGTGCGATTTGCTTGCAAAGCGCGTCGTGTGCTAATGAAAGCCCCCGAAGGAAACACGAGAACGTGGGCTCCCAGTAGTTTATGTGGAGTGCTGTTGCCAATAACGTCTGCCGAAACCCAGCGGCGTTTATTTAACAATGCTCACGCTTGCTGACGAGACCCAGGAGGTCCAGACCCGTCCAGAGTTTCATTGGTTACGCAAACGTGTGAGCTGAATGTTGAGCTTCTTTTGCACGCTACGCGGTGGCCGAACGTGCTAATCGGAGGTGCCAGGAAGGCCAACAAACTAAAAACATTCTGCTGAATATTGATCGAGGAAGCCAATAGTGTTTGGAACTAGAGCCTCTGTTTTATTTGTCCGTGGAGACACGTGACAGAGGTCTGCTCGTTGTATTTTGTCCTGCCAACTGTTGGGCCCACGTGGCAACCACTCATCGGTCAGCAGTCACTTTGTCACCTTTGATCCGGTCCGTGAGCTTTCGAAGCAGCTCGTTCTTAACCTGGGGTGCGTGGCCAGATTTTTTTAGAAGGTAAATAATCTAAACAAATTAAGCACCGGGCATGTACGTACAACTACTTTGTTTCATCAAACCCTCTATGTATTCATTAACATAATTTGTTTAACGATTGAGAATCAAAGGGGTGCATAGTTGCAGTAAAGGTTAAGGCCCACTGATTTAAAGGATGAGATTTCTTTCTCCCGAGAGAGTAACTTTGCCCTCGATAAGATTTGGGAGATATTTCGTCCTTTTGCCATCGGGGATCTTTTGGAAGTGAGGATTACTCTGAGAATTATTTTCACTTTTAAGTGAAGCAGTTTTTTTTTTAATCGGACACCAAAGATCATTAAGATTGCAGTCCGTGTTAATATGTACATCGTCCCATTGAATAAAAATCAAAATAGTTAAATTAGCACTTGTGTTAGCAAATTAATATTAAAACGTATGATTGTTGTAGCAGCTGCGATAAAAAAAAAGTTTGCCAAAAATGTTCATTTATTTTGCCGTGTGCTTGTGAATGGGGGGGGGGGGGGGGCAGGCTGCAGCATGGATACTGTGTAGGATACATTTTCGAATTTGCATGGAAACCGTCAGTGCCGTAACAAAACACACGGCTGTAATGTCCTGAATAGAGACGTTTCGGAAAGTAAGCCGCACCCTAAACTTGTGCGTGGTGTCAATACAGTTACACAAATCTGCTCTCGTACAGACGCACGCCGGATTATTAAGACACCGCTCCCAACGTTTGACTTAAAACACGTAATGCGGACAGTGTGATAACACAGAACATGAAACAAGTTAGAAGTCATTGGTCTTGCTTTAAGGCCTTGAACATCTGTAAGCCACACCAGCCAAGGCACAACTCCACGGCAACATAACATGGCAACGAAACGTTCAGTGAATTTATAATAAAAAAACACTGCGATGTGCTTGTAAACCATTTTCATAAGCGATGAAGGCACATTGACTGTCTCAGAACCGGCATTGGCATTGCGCTACAGAGATAAACATTACATTGAGCCCATTGCGCCGGTAACATTAGACCCCTTTAATCAAAACTGGTCGGCATGTGGCCGCATCTGCTGCACGAACGCCATTCTGATGACTGCAGCAGCATTTGATTCTTTGCATGGAAGGTCAACCTCTGTAGGGCCCTCCCATGACCCTTGAGGCTTTGCCACAATCCCCCTTGTGGCCCAACCGCTTACTCCTTAGGCCCCACTCCTTCCGGATTAGACCACGCCCCTTCCAAGTAAGCCCCGCCCCTTCCTGATTAGGCCCCACCCCCTTTTATTAGGCCCCGCCCTTCTGCTTTCGGCCCCGTGCCTTCCTCTCGTGGTGGGGACAGTTGAGGCTGATGCAGCTTCACGAAGACCACCATAACCGATCTTAGAGCAACAATCGAGTAATAATATAGTGTAGGGTCTACTTGGGTGGTGGTGGCGTGGGCTGTAGTGTTTGATCCTAACCGTTGTTGGGATCAAACACTGTCTCGCCAACTGAAATAATGGGCGCGAGACGGCGTTTGTGGCTGTGCACGCCTCTGATCCAGTGCCTCGTTTGCGGAGTGGGGCTGGTGGACCACGCAGAGATTTGTGAAACTCCCCAACTCCGCAGAGCTAAGAGGCGTCCAGGGGATGATGGTAGAACCAGAGTGGCTTTGTGAACCACTCGGAATCAGAATATTTATTCTGGAGGAATCCGATTAGCTATAAAGCTCTTTTTCACAGATGTCCAGTAGGTCACAGATGTCCCGTAGGTAGTGCCGGGTTTTCCCTAGGCATTCCTCGTTTTCTCCCACACGGAGCTAAACAGTCATTCGTAAAGAGCTGGCGAAATATCGCAATACAGGACTCTCTACGGAGAGTTGAGACTCGGTGAGTCTCAGCGAGGCTTTCTTGCGGGAATACACTTCATCAGTATCACCGTCATGTGTTGTGAATGACGATGGTAGGAAAGTTTTGTTTCCAACCTGATGTGTTTGATTGCAACCCAACCCACAACTCCCTAGGCCGACAGTCTCAACTGAAGCTGGGATCGAACCCCCCCCCCCCCCCCCTCGGCTCAATTAGAGGACGCACGCCTGACTAACCACGCACACGTTCCAAAATGTCGAAAGGTGGCGCGGGAGTGATCCATGCCCACCTTTGATCGGACGAATCGATGCGATTCAGTGTTGGCGAATCGATTCGAATATCGATGCATTTTTTTTCCTTAGCATGGCGAGCATGGCGTTGTGGTTGCGAGATGTTAACGGCCTCGCCTTGTATGCAGGAGGTTGTGGTTTTGATCCCGACCCTGACGCCTGTATATTCGGAGTGTGTGTGTTTCTCTCCCCATGGCCATGTGGATTTTTCTCCAGGTCCTCCGGTTTTCCCCTTTCACATTGAGAATGAACGTGCGTTCAGAGCATTTGGCTGCTATACATTCCCACGTGATAAGACACTTCGTTGAGCTATCATTTGTGATAGCCAGGTCGCTTGTGTGAAAGAGCTATACAGCTCAGTGGGGCTTTACCAGGTAAAATAAAAAGTGTCAGCTTTAAATAGCCGTGGCTGTGTAGCAGCCTATCGTGGTGGCAGTGGTCGCAAGTAACCCATTGGAATCTGATGCGCACAGACTTTGTGCGCGTATTGTGGAGCTGGCAATAATCGGGATGAATTGGTGCATCCCACAGAACGTTCCAGGGCAGCTGCTCACGACGCGTTCACAGTATGGATTGCGCGCGAGACGTCGCACGCCGATGCGAAGCAACGCGCAAAGCGATTTCGCGGCACGGCTTCAGTTCGTGTGACAGAGGAGTAAATAAACAAAAACAATAATAATTTGCAACGCGCGCCGTAACCCGCTCGCTCGCTGTCGCTGGGAGAAAGAGAAAGGACCTACCGGAAGCATGGGAAACCCACAGACAAGTGGGAAGGGCAGCCAGGGACGACGCCGACAGTTACCCAAGCTCTGCAGTTCTATCCTGGCACGTTTGTCCCACTCCGTGCAGGCCGACGCGTGCGCGACGTGGCCTTCTGAGCGCGTGATCGGGCGAGAGGTCACGAGTTCCGCTCGATAGACAACAGCGTAGGTTTGCTCTCTCTTTTGGAATAAAACGATTTTTGAGAGATTCTCACTGAGAAACTTTCTCGGGTTCATAAGAGCCCGTTTTTTTTTTCTTTCTCTCTCACAGTAGTACGAAGTAATGCCGCAGGTTAAAACGTGAGGCTCAAGTGAAACGCACAGCCCATCGTGAGCTGGCGTTAGATATCGCATGACATTTGTCAACATTACTCATTAATTTGAGGAATTGTGGCATTTTTACCCCCTAAAAATGTTACCCGTATAGTGTTGACCATCGGAGGATAAATTACATCGCTGGGCTGTGTGATTAATGAAGGAATCGATTGTAGATAATTTTTGGGTTCAATGTTACCCGGCTAATCGGAAAACGCGTACGATTTGTTGGAACGATCTCACCTCTATTGCCCACGTGTGCCGCTGGACGGGAGGTGGTGGGCGTTACCTCGCCGCACCATCGACGTCATCAGCCGCGTCACGCTGGGAGCGTGGCTTTCCTTCTATAGGGGGCGGGGGGAGGGGGGTTTCCTGCCTTCGGAAGATCACGATTCCAGTGGGGACGGCCACGATCTCTATAAAGGGCAGCGGGTCAAGGAGGCCCACGCGATTTAACCGGCTCAACCGACCGGTCGCCCCGGCTCTTGTAAATTAATCAAAGCCCCAACTTGACGTAATTTTGTGCACAGCGTGGGGCGGTGACTGTACCACGCCCCCGTGTTGTGCACCCTCCAGGCGTGCAGGCCGAGTCTGTTAACCACCGCAGTACTGTGCGACCGCTGCACACACCCTGGCGTGTGTCGCGTGTTCGGTCTTGGCGTGCGCGTTTCGACTGTCGTGTGCCCGAGTTGGGCAACCTAATCGGTTTTCTCGTCTCGTTTTCCTCGACGTAAGAGCGGAATTTGGCCGTTGCACACAATGCAGGCCGCTGTCATTCCTGGAATAAAAAAAACGACAACATCAGAATCAGCAACTGCGTCGGCAGCGGCAGTGTCATCGTCGTCGTGAAAATTGTGAACCGCCACTGCGCAATTTTGGAACTCACTTTCCCAGTGTTAAGCACATTCATCAGCATCCTCGTCAGCAGCAGCAACAACAGCGGGGTGAGCAGCAGCGTCGTAATTATCATCATCAGAAGCATAATTGTGATCAGCAGCAGTGTCATCATCATCATCATTGTGACTGCCTCTGCCCGGCTTCCATGCCGGTCGTGAGAACACCCCCCTCTCTCTCTCCTAAAGAGGTGGTGTGCTCCGAGATGGCCTCTATGATGTCATTCCCTTGGGTTACAACATGCCCGTAAAAAGTGGGGGGAGGGGGGCTGGCTTAAAATGCTTTTAAATAATTAAGCAGACAATAGATGAGCAAATAAAGTCTTCTTCATATGTCTGCCCCTCCACGTAACAAACATGAAAGGATTCGGGGGGCGGCATCACCCCATCCCCCCCCACCCCTTCTAGATCCGCCTCTGGCTGAAAAAGCTCTCAGCGGCCCGTGGAGCAAAACGTCGGACATGGTGCCGAACGCACGCGGTGGACGGAGAGAGATTTGTTCTCAAATCCGCGTGGTTGACGGAGAGTGCGGGGGGGGGGCAGCTGCGAGGAAAGGACGCCCCCCACTAAGGGGCGTTCTTGCCTACTGCACCCTCCCCCCTACCCCCCCAACTCGCGTTGTCAAATCGCCGGTCACGCGGTAACACCGACGGAGATGAGCGGCGTCCGTGCGTCGCGGCCGGCGCAGTCCGCACAGAGATCTGTGCGCGCAGCCGCTCGAGGCTACGGCTCCGTTGTGGAGGGGGGGGGGGGGGGAGCCTGAGCCCAGCAGTAGAGATAGACTGGCTCATGACGCTCAAAGGGCATCGGGAAAGGGTGCGTAACGCATGGGTCGATGGTCGCGAGGATAGTTCTTGTTGAAAGGCAACTTTAGGTGTGTGGTGGTACTTTTGTCACTGCGGCTAATGATGATGATGTTAATTATAATGATCTTGCTACTGCTGCTGATGATAGTGATTATGTCTGTATACGTGATGATGATAAGACAACGATGATAGCGGTCATCACGACAGTGATGATGTTGGTCACGGTGATGATCACGACGATGTTGCTGGTGACAATTGTGATGATCACACCGATCATGGTGGCGACGATGGTTGATGATGATGGTGTGGGTGACGCACCTATGAGTGGCGCGACTCCGTAGACCAGGGCATAGTCCAGGGTGGAGTGACCCGGGCAGCCCAGGGTGAACGTGGCAGCTAGCACAGGGTTAAACACGCCGCCTGTGATGGAGCCAGCTGCGAGCACAGAACGACCAACATCATCATCACCTGTCAATCATTGTCACCACCACTACCAAACATTGTAATCATCAACACCATCATCAGGTCAGGGTTAAACACAGACCTATCATGGAGCCAACTGTGTGCACAGAACAACCAACATCATCATCACCGTCATCATTGTGACCTGTCAATCACCAGACAACCGTCATCACCGATCGTGAACGTCATTCGCCAACACCCGTGCTCTGTGCACACAGCATCACCATCACGCATCGCAATCACTCATTAACCATCGCCCAACACTCATCACGATCACTCACCACCCACCACCGCCCATCGTCAATCGCCCATCACTGTGAAGGTCACCAAGAGCTCTCTGGAGCCACCACGTAAGACTCGCCCGATCTCGTCGCATCTCGGAAGCCAAGTGGCGATGAACGTGGCGAGTACTCGGATGGGTGACCACCACCAGGGCTTGCCCACGGGTGTTGTAGGCGCGGGGCTGCGCCGTATTAGACGCGGTGGGTTTTCTGCTCTGGTGGAAATTCCACGTTCCTTTCATGGCACGGTATCTAATATGAATGTATTATTTTAAAGGTCTACCCAGCCAGATGATGGTCGAACGATGGATCCATGGGTGCTTAAGTGCAAGCCCCTTGGATACGTGTCTGGGTTATCTCCGTGTCCTTCCCACACGAAGCCAAACTCTCACTAAAAACAAGTTCACCAAACATCCCATGATCATCGGTGGCGATATGTTAACGACCGCGCCTGGTATGCGGGAGGTCGTGGGTTTGATTCCGACCCTGACGCCTGCTGTATATTTGGAGTTTGCATGTTCTTCCCGTGGTCGCGTGGATTTTTCTCTGGGTCCTTATTTAGCTGCTATAAAATGTCCACTCGATTATAAACCACTTTGTTCTCATTTGTGGCCACGTCGCTTCTGAAAAAGAGCCGTATAGCTCAGTGGGCCTTACCTGGTAAAATAAAACTAAATAAATGGTTGAATCCTTTGCAACGTTGTGGACAATATTAAAAAATAATTAAGCAGGCATTCTGCCTCCTCATACCAGACCCTCGACGTGAAACATTTAAAGTATGTTTTTGTTTACGCGTGCCATCAGTCACACTGCCTTCTGGAAGTGCATAATTTCAGCAGCACAAGTTTAACACGAGAAAAAACTCTGGACCGGGTCCGGCATTCAGCGTCCTCATCAGCAGAGTCCAGCAAGCTTGCTTGAACCAATCACCAAAGTGTGTACACCTCCAGAAGGCCGTATGGCCGATGGGATGTGGCAACATTTCCAATGTGGCAAGGCCCTTCTTAAAATAATGTTTTGATCCTCAGCGAGGCATGATGATTATTAGCATTAATATTGATTGGTTTCAACATTATCATCAGTATTCTTGGTTCTTTCGGTAAAGTCACGTAGAAGGGAAGTAATAAAATAATAAAAATAAAACAATAATATTCTCACGACGTTTCGCCACTTTTTTCAAATGTTCCTTTCTGTGGTTTTCACACCTGATGTTGATTGCTTGTGGTGCAATCGAAACGTCGTGAGAATTTTATTGTTTTATTTCATTATTTCCCTTCTACGTGACTTTACCGAAAGAACCAAGTATATGAATCCCTGCAGTCACGAAAGCTTTAAATCGAAAATTATCATCAGTATTATTATTCACGCAATGCCCTCTCAGAGCCCCTACGTGGCGATGCTAAGGGTGCATGCTGGTGGCATCTTCGCCCACGTTGCGATCGGATGGCCGCACGTTATTTCTGGTCGGCACGGATTCCCGTGCCGGGCACAGATTCCCGTGCCGGGCACGTGTGGATGACGGGGATATTTGCGTGCGTGAACCCAGAGGTTGCGCCCGGCTTAAATTAACCGGCACGGCGAGGTGCCCTGTTTAGGCTCCTAGCCCTGGCGTCAGGGAGAAGCGCCGTTTAATTGAGATGGAGTCTCGCCAAAGGGAGGCTTGCGTGGTGGTGGTGTAGATGTTTGGCGCGCTGGACTTGCAATGCAAAGGTCGCAGGTAACATTCACTTTTTCGGTGTGGCGGTTCGTTGCGCCAGTTCCCACCCGCTAGGGTGAATGGGGGTACACCGCGGCGAGGTGATCGGGATACCACGTTCATTCGAGGATTTAGCTCGTTCACTCATTCGTTAGAGCATTCATTCACTCCGCCTTTCATTCACTGGTCCACTCATTCGCTCGAGTGTTCTTCCGTTCGCTCATTCGTTCATGCTTGCGTTCGTTCTTTCAATCGCTCGCTGTCCCGTCCGTCCGCGGTGTTCCCACGCCCCGCTTTGCACACGCGTAGACGGTGCCGGCCCACTCATTATTTTCCTAGATTCTTCATTCGCGCATTCATTCCCTCCCCCTTTCATTCACTCGAGCATCCGTTCGTTCTTTCAATCGCCCGCCCGCCCGCGGGGTTTCCCACCGGCGTAGACGATGGCTGTGACCGCTGCTGCGACGGCCGCCACGCGCGCCGTCGGCTGGAGGCGCGCGGTCGCTTGTGCCGCCGCCACGTGGAACGCGAGCGCGCACAGCGCCTCCACCACCGCGCCCAGCGGGAGCCCCGCGCGCAGCGGACTCGGGCAGAGCCACGCGACCCCCGGCGGCCGCTCCACGTAGACCCCGACGGCGAGGGCGTGAGCGCCCCCTAAGAGGCGCCACGCCGCCCCCGTGACGCGCAGTGCCAGCGCCGCGCCGCACACCTGGGAAGGAGGGGGGGTCCGGACAGAGTTTAGGAACAGGGAAGGTTCCGACCGCCGCACCTTCTGCTGTTCCAACGTGGGATCTTGAAGCGGCGTGACCAATGGTCAAACAACGCGATGTAGCAGGGCCCTCCTGAAAAGAGTCTCGAGACACAGCGAGGTTCTTCTGGGTAAACAAGCGGCGTTTGTTATCAATACTGTTTCTCTCCATCCGGTCCGCTCGCTCTCTCGCTCCGTGTTGTTACCGACCCCTATCCCCTCGGTGCGTAATAACGCGCTAGAGCTTCGGGTCTGTCTCCGCTTCTTTCCATCTCAGATCTCCATACCCCGAGCCATCTCCACACGTCTCTGCCACCACCTCTCTCTATATCTCAGTGATACCTCCTCTACACCGCCCCCCCTCCCTCCCAAGTCACACACGCGCGCAAAGACGCGCGCCATCGTCATTCGCGGACCTTCCGTGCGTAATAAAACACAATATGCATCGCCTCCTCCCCGCGTTAATCTCGCCTCTCCACCCATCTAAAAACCTCCCGTACCCTCTGCATCTCTGTATCCGCCACCTCTAAACCACCCTCCCACCTCCACCCGAGCCCCCGCACCTGCGCAAAGACGCGCGCCATCGCCGTGCGCGGTCCTTCCGTGCGTAAAAGCACGCGCTCGAGCGCGGAGCAGGGGCTGCACGTGGCGCCGGCTCCCGTGGCGCCGTGCGCCGCCGAGGTGACGAACACGAGCCCCAGGCCGAGCCATCGCGGAGCGGCGCCGCTGTCCGCGGCCAGCCGCTGCTCGAGGGCGCAGCAGCAGAGCTGCAGGGTGGCGGTAACCTCCAGCGCCGCGGGCAGGAGGGCGAGGGGCAGGGCGCGCCGTGCGCTCCAGCGCAGAGCCCAGCAGAGGCAGAGCGTGGCGCCGAGCGCGCACAGCGAGGCGCGCAGACTCACGGGCTCAAGGGTGGCCGCGGTCATTGCTGATGATGGAGGTGGTGGTGGTGATGGGGTGAAGAGGACGTGGTGGTGGTGGTTGTAATGATGTTATGTTGATGACGAAGATGTGACGATATTAGTGGCGAACGATGACACTGATGCTTGTAGCGATTGTGAGTATGATGCTGCTGCTGATGGTAACGATGCTGCTGGTGGTGATGCTGTATGCTGCTGATGATGATGCAGCTGCTGCTGTTTGGTCGATTCAGCTTAACTACGGGCGCAACTCGTATCCCCGTGCCGACGTGAATACGAGTCGCTGCAGAAGTTGAATGTGTGGGGCCACGGGTCTGACCCGAGGAACAGTCGCTGTTGACGCGAGTACACTGCGCATAGCTCTTCACACGTGCGGCGTCTCTACAGAGGGCACCCTATGAGCTAAGCCTGATGGGCTGTGTGAGCCCCGACACAGCCCGGTCCGACGTGCACGTGTGCGCTGTGTCTGTGTGCTGCCCGTATGATATGCCTGCGTGCTGCGTATGTTGTGTGTGCCGTGTATGTTTGCTCTGAGTGCTGTGCGAGTGGTGTGTGTGTGTGTACTGTGCGTGTGATGTGTCTGTGCTGTGCGTGTGGTGTGTGTGCTGTGCGTGTTATGTGTGTGTGTGCTGTGCGTGTTATGTGTGTGTGTGTGTGCTGTGCGTGTTATATGTGTTATGATGCGCGTGTGATGTGTGTGTGTGCTGTGCGTGTTATATGTGTTATGATGCGCGTGTGATGTGTGTGTGTGCTGTGCGTGTGATGTGTGTTATGATGCGCGTGTGTGTGCCACGTATCCACACACAGCGCAACACACGCGGTGAAGTCACTCCTTGTACTGCGGCCCGGGGTCGAGACTGCTTCTATAAATCACTGCCGTTGCGCCTCCTGCTACTGCTGCTACTGCTGCTTACCCCCCCCCCCACCTTCTTATTCGTGCCGCCGCTTCTGTGACCTGCTGCGACTGCTTGCCCCGTGTCCGGCCCCGCCTGCTGCGGGAGTCACGCAAACAGCAACAGCAGCAGCAGCAAGAAACAGCTGAGGCAAGCGAGTTTGCCCGGACGCTTGATGCAGGGAGCAGCGAACGAGGTCGGCAGCGAGAGTGGAATGAGACAGCAAACACACGCGGAGTCTCCACGTGGCCCTCTCTCCCCCCTCCCTCCAACCCGCCCCACTCACCTCCTCCTCATCAAACCTCGCCCTCTGCCGTCTCAGCTGCAGGGGGTGATGATGGAGATCTGTGATGTGGGCTGTGACTCGGCTGGAGCAGTGGTTCTCAGGTTGGTGGGCCCCGCCTTGGTAACCACCCAGGTCCCACCCTGGTTCCACCCCCGTCCCATCACGGTCACACCCTGGTTCCACCCTGGTCCCACCCTGGTACTACCCCGGTCCCATCACGGTCACACCCTGATTCCACCCCAGTACCACCCTGTGACCACCCCAGTACCACCCTGGTACCACCCTGGTTCCACCCCGGTCCACCCCGGTTCCACCACGGTCCCACCTTGTGACCACCCCCGTCCCATCACGGTCACACCCTGGTACCACCCCAGTACCACCCTGGTTCCACCCGGGTTCCACCCTGGTTCCACCCCGGTCCCACCCTGTGATCACCCCTGTACCACCCTGTGATCACCCCTGTACCACCGTGTGATCACCCCTGTGCTACCCCGGTACCATTCTGACAACCACCAAGTAGTCTACGACGGCTTCTCCAGGCGAGCCGCGGGGGCTGTGATGCCAAACGCAGCTTGATCCGGACAACCACGACACAGTGGGTTAAACCCTTTTGTGTCGGACATTGCGGTAATTAATATTTTCAGACTCTGTCGCCTCGACGGACCTGGTTTTCACCTGAGGACGGCTGCTTGCGTTGTGGCCGAAACGTCGTGAGAATAATTTTATTATGTTTTATTTTTATTAGTTTATTACTTCCCTTCTACGTGACTTTACCGAAAGAACCAAGAAGATGAATCCCTGCAGTCACGAAAGCTTTAAATCAAAATTTAATATTTCACTTGTGATGTTTAATGTATAAAAAATAATTTCGAAATGCCCTCCCCCCTGAAATAAAACCTGATATCTACGTGAATTAAATGAGTTTTATTTGCATGTAAATATATTTAATATATTTTCACGTTTTGGATATTTAAATATATATTTATATAGTTTTATATTTTTACATATAGTAGTATATATTTTCTGGTGTTCCGGTAATATGAATCGTTTGGTATCACTGCCCTTGAGAGAAAGAGAGGGAGGGTTTGTCAATGCGCAACTTTAAAAAAGTATAGAATTGTTATAACAACACAATTTCTTTTATTCCAACATCAGAGTGCAGCGCTACATTAAATACGCACTACAATGACAATAGTTTAAAGCGATTTGAAGCATGTTTTATTTTCAAAATTGAAATATAGTTTCGGGGGGGTGGAGGGCAGAGCTTTGTGACGTCATATTTGAGGGGGGGGGGGGTCTGACTTTGTGACGCCGTGTGACGAGGGGGGGGGTGGGTCAAAAATCGTCCAAAATTGCGTGACGTCATTTATGGACGGCCCCTCAACACATTACGCCAATAACGCTGCACTGAAGGGAAAGCCAATGTAGAATAGGCGACGTTTCGGGCAATGAGCCTTCATAGCAGAGCGCTATTAACAAAAGCCCCTCCTGGCAGAGCCCCGAAGCGAGGCCGCTTCCTATCCCCGAGCGGCCGACCCTTGGCCTCTTCCTCCACCCACGAGCTTCTCTAGCGGGCGTCAATGTCCAACGTTTCGGGGGGTGTCAGCGTCCAAGGGATGAGTGATCCCAGCAGCTGCTGCGTGATCTGGCAGAAGGAAGGAAGCGATGGCGAGGTGGGCTGGTCTAAATACGGCGTATGTCATCATCCATAATTGAGGTTTTGTTTGGGGTTAGATCGTGTAAGTATATAAATGTGTCGTTAAACCCGCCACCACCCGACACGGCCAACTAGTAAGGGTTGTCACGTAAATAGAACGTGCCAATTTGTCACTAGTCCAGTTAGACTTCTCCACAAGTCTGGCTGTCGCCTGATGAAGCTGGTTGTAATTACTGGCAAAACGTCCTAGGTAACGATGACCTATAGATAAGTTAGGATGGCCTATAGGTAAGATAAATATAAGCAGGTAATACCTTGCAATATCTGTCTCGACACATAATTAATCAATGCTCGTGAATTGCCAGATATGTACATGTAGGAGCCATCTGTGTGAGATGATTCCTAGGTCACGAGTTTTTTGTTTGGATTACGACTGCAGGTATTGTGGTCTATGCAAACATGACTCCTTGTAAAAAAAAGGTGTCAGTTTTGTTGCCAGATAAAAGGGTTAAAATAACAATTATCATATTTTTCTACTGGCAAATAAGGTTCCAATGGTGTAAATGCTTAACCCCGAGCTCTCATACTTTGATGGTGCATTGTCTTTGAGTTGTGCGCCTTTTGGCGTCATCTGGTCCAACACCATGTGAGACTAGGCTCTAAGGAAAGCTGTCTCGGGTGTGGACCAATCAACTTCAAGGACAGTGCATATCATTATAAGAGTTATGTTTTTTGTTTGCATTCCGACTGCAGGTATTGTGGTCTATGCAAACATGACTCCTTGTAAAAGAAGGTGTCAGTTTTGTTGCCAGATAAAAGGGTAAAAAAACAATTATCATATTTTTCTACTGGCAAATGAGATTCCAATGGTGTAAATGCTTACCCCGAGCTCTCATACTCTGATGGTGCATTGTCATTGAGTTGTGTGCCTTTTGGCGTCATCTGGTCCAACACCATGTGAGACTAGGCTCTAAGAAAAGCTGTCTCGGGTGTGGACCAATCAACTTCAAGGACCATGTGAGACTAGGCTCTAAGGAAAGCTGTCTCGGGTGTGGACCAATCAACTTCAAGGACCATGTGAGACTAGGCTCTAAGGAAAGCTGTCTCGGGTGTGGACCAATCAACTTCAAGGACCATGTGAGACTGGGCTCTAAGGAAAGCTGTCTCGGGTGTGGACCAATCAACTTCAAGGACAGTGCACATACATTATCAGAGTTATGTTTTTTGTTTGCATTCCGACTGCAGGTATTGTGGTCAATGCAAACATGACCCCTTGTAAAAAAGGTGTCAGTTTTGTTGCCAGATAAAAGGGTAAAAACAACAATTATCACGAGGACCTGTTTATATAATCCTACTGAGCAATGCGCGTGGGTTACCCTGTGGCGATGACGTCACTACACGTGTAGTCTGATGACGCAATCGGCCTTTGCGAGCGCGAAAAAATTACGTCATCGACCGCTTCGTTGAAATATGACGTTGCCGCAAAACAATGCCGTCATCGTTAACCAACGGTAAGGATAACGTGAGAGAATGACGTCACGTTTAACTTTAACGTTTTAAAGTTTTAAACGCATCACGTGTAAAGCGTGTGCTAAATACGTAGCATAGGAATAAAATACGGCGTGACGTCATCGCGAATGATAGCGTGTCCCTCCCCTCCCCCCGCATATGATGACGTCATCCGCAACGACGAAGCCATTGGCTCGTCACCCACAACTGCGATGACGTCACGCAAGGTACAGCAAGCGCGATGACGTCATTACCAATGTAACCGCCCCCTCCCAACGCTTTAAATGGCGCCCTCTGATTCGTCAGCGCCCGGAGCGTGACGTCACCGGAAGGAGCGGCAATGGCGGCGCGCGTGCGATTTAGAGGCCTAGCGGCGCGGGGCTTTTCGCGCTCATTTCTTCGGCGATAAGAAATACCTCGAGCCGTGTACTCGACTTTATTTACTTTTAAAATTAAATTAATAGTATCGTGCAACCTCGAATGTGCGCTGTTTAGAAGTAGATTCGTGATATATACAGTTAGTTTGTTTCCCTCCCATTGTTTTGTAGTTGGCCACACGTGTGTGCCCATTGGAACTTCATAGCGTGGTTGCTTAGTTTAGCCTTGTCATGTAAAGTTTACGTAAATAGTGTTAGATGTATAAAACAACAATTCCGAGCGTCCTCTCAAACGGGCGCGGGGTGGTGCTGTTGCTGTGTTTACAGCCGTCGCTGTCCATTCCACGTGCCGCTGACGAGGACGCCTTTACATCGACACAGCCGTGCTTTTAGTTGCCACAACACGGTAACGCTTTATCGCCCTAGGAGCGAGATGATAGGCGGCTTTCAATCCCCAATGGGGACTTGAACCGATAACCCGATTGCGTGGGTGGTGAAGTATGGTTATTGGCGGTGGTTACGTTCGGAATGGTGCAGTTGCTGGTACATGAACATCGCTCTAACCCCATGCGGTTTATTTACCTTATTAATTGGCTGTGGCGGGTTTAACGACACATTTACGTGATCTAACGCCATTAAACCTGTTATGGATGATATTAGTCGCGAAAGACTACGTGTAACTTTGTTTCTTCCTTGTGATGGGACTTTGCAGGATGAACGTTGAGATGTATAAGGGCACGGGGGTGAGCAATACGGTCTGAATTGGTTTGTAATAAGGCAGGGCACTGATACAGGGTTGACCGGTTTGCATTAATCGCTGCGATGCCTCCCATCGTATTTGCCAATCTGCCGCGTGGCTTTGTTAGAGGTCTGTGGCCCACTAAAGCTTTTGCGGAAAGATCGAAGGCAATGAGAAGAGGGATCTTTCAAGCGAGCGGGTCCTTTCCACGAGGTCTTTGCTACTTCCTGTAAACTTTTTCTCCCTCCAACCAGAAAAAATTATAGACAGACATATAAGCAGACGGATATCTTATATGTCTGTCTGCTTATATGTCTGTCTATAATTTTTTCTGGTTAGATTGTATGTCGCTATTTCATTATACCTGATGATGATTGCTTGTGTTGCAATCGAAACGTCGTATGTTATTATTTAATATTTTTTTCTTTATACGCGACTTTACCGAAAGAACCAAAGAATAATTCCTGCAGTCACGAAAGCTCCAAAGTTAAGATTTTTCTCCCTCTCCCCATTTTGGCTTTCCCGAGGATCGACCGTCGTGGTTTTGATGGCGATTCGTCTGGCCGCGTCTCATCGTCTTCATCATCACCGGCAGCAACTTTCCTTCTGTGGGCAAGAGGTACAAGTATAACCTGTAAAAACAAAGTTTTTCACTATAAAGCCTTTATTTGCGTGGCGGCTAGAGTCCTCTCGTCCTCTGGCTTGAGATGGCTGCCACCTATGGGTCAGATGATTGCATGTCACCATTAAGCAATTGGTAATTAAATATAATATTTTTGTCCTAAAAAGTGTAAAATTTTGGAAAAAAATTTCACGAACATTAATTGTCACGCACAACGAGTCTGTGTGCAAAATGTCAGCTCGATTGGATCACGGGAAGTGGGTTAAAAAACGACCGAAAGATTTTCACGGTCTTAAGCAAGCAAGCAAGTGAACTTAATATAAAGGATTTAAAAAGGAGGGACACGGGCGGTTTGGTACAACGTGCTCGCAGACACGGTGCACTCACTCCCCCTCCACGTGGACACACTTGCTATTTGAAGGCTTGCATGCGTGGTTTTTCATTGTGCGCTCTCCTAGTCTCGTTACAACCACGTTGTTGTGCCGTTGTAACGCCACGGGGTCGTCGTGGACTTTGTTGTAATTCGACGTTTATTAAAAAAAAATAGAGCGAACAAAATAATAGTGAAATTACAATAATTGGAAATGGGTGCTCTTGTTTAAATCGGGGGTACCGTTTTGTGCACGCTAATGTCACTAATTGAAGTACAGCAAATTCAACTTGAATGAGTAATCATCTGAACCTTTTAACTTGGGCTGATAATTGCTTTTAAGTGCTAAGTCCCGCAGTTGGGCTTTTAAATGCCACCACGGCTTGTCGGAAAGGCCAAACGTCGCGCATGGCGATGAATTGGATCGGCAACGTCGATATGTCCACCGCAATCTTAGATGAGACGGTGCGTTGTTTTTTCTAGTAGTTTAATGAATCCCTGAAACAAAAAAAACCCTGAAAAGGCCGATGATGAGCAAGTAAAAGGTCTGATCGCAGCCCCAATGCCGCCACGGGGTCTCCTCGGGCGCGCGGCTTTCACATCCCGGCCCTGCTGGAAGACACCCAGGGTCGGGGCAAGCCCGCGGCCCCATATCAAGGAGGCCGGGTGCTGGAACATAGACCTGGCTTCTGGGGGGGGGAGGTCAAGTGGGTCTCGGTGGCCCCCCAAATCCGAGCCGGCCTCGAGCGTAGTGCCGGCTCGTATGACCTCTTCCCACACACGGATCGCTTGCGGGGAGACCCCGGGTGGCAGCTGCATGACTTCAAGTTTTCAAGCTGAGGCCTTTTTTGGGAATCAACGTTGACATTCGCAAATACTGGGTTTCTGTTTTGGCCGAAAATAATTTTGTTTCTTTGAAGCGTATCGATTAAGATTGCTAGATGTGTATTTTTAGAAATCAAACAAGGTGCGCTGCTATAAATCCCATGTTTTAGTTGAATAATTATACTGTATTTAAAGTGCGTTGAATGAATTTTAATTGCGCTTTGCCAACCCACACTGACCAACGTGGTGAAGTATGGACCAGCAAACCCCATCGCCAATGACGTCGAGATGCGTTAATTCGTCGGCAGTGAATTAAATGATCTTCGATTAAAATTTTTATGGTTAGAACTCTAACAGCACGTGACTAGCAGTGGCTGTTGATACAAATCCAGTTTTGAAATCGTTAAATCATCGAATTTACTGTATATATCCATCCACATCCAAATTACATGTGTATTACATTGCCTAATGACCTTCCAGGCATGTTAGACAGAATCGTGTGTTTACGCACATGCTGAACCGGTTTTGACATTTTTAGGTCGCATCAGCAGTCGCAATCCAGAAGGCTCGTGTGTAATTTTGAAAAAAAACAGTGCTCGGTTTGGCTTCTCTGCCGTTCCCACAGATTTGTATCTGGCACTGAACCATGGGTTATACATTTACCTGTCGGTCTTCCATTCAAATTCCATTTGTGTTTGCTTTGAGTTGATAAGGAGAATACTGATTTAGATTTTGTGTAGGTAGGTGGTTATGAGTTTTAAGTGTTCAGGTTTGCGTAACATAGTGCATAAAACTGCCATTTATTGCCACACGTATCTGGTGGGGGGGGGGCAGTTCTCCGTTACTCGACTTTCATTAATCATTCTATAATCCTTTAAGATGAGCTACTGATACATCATGGAAACCCAGTTTTAACAACAAGGTTTAGTTTTGATGGCAAATATATATTTCGTGCATGTGCCATTGCGACAAATAATGCTTGCAAGGATGATGTGCTGTTGTTTAGAAGTTTATAATGCAGCGGCGTTTATTCTTGATGCAATTTCCATAAACATAATGTGATCTTAATAGTTGTGCGTGTTGCATGTGTCTTTCCCTCCTGTCAAACATATGCCGTGGAAGTCTTCCGATGCAAGAAAAGAAAGAAATGAAACAAGCAAGGACGTTGCATGTGGTGTAGCGAAGCCACCCTGGAAATGGGCTGGAGGATTTGCGTGCAATTGTGTTTTGTATGCAGAAAGACCACACTTTTTTTATTACAAACATTTACTCCTTGTTTAGTTTTAGTCTTTGTCTTAATTAATATCTGAATGATAAACATATGCAGCCGTTTTGTCAATACATTGTTGGATGAAGCCTCGACAATGGTGGGCATGCATTTGAGAAATGTTATTGGATTTTAATTTTCAACTTTTTTAATATTCCTGAAATATATTTTTTAGAGCCAGAATGTTTGTTTGCCAGTTTAGCTTTGGACTAAAAACAAGTATTAAAGTTTGCTTTAAAAAAAAAAGTACGAATTGCACGTGTTTCTTTGGTTTGTCTCAAGTTTTAATACAAAAAATAGTCAATTTGTCAATTCACTGTTGGATAAGGCTGGTGACAGGTTTGACTGACCATAATACTTAGTGCTCCATCATAGAGGTTTACGTGACAAACTTTCCGAAGTGGCTTTGGCAGGTTTGACAGCACGTTTACATTCGCGTGATCCTTGTGGATATTATTTGCCGCGGAAGCCTACGTGTTAATACTTCGTGCTGTTGGGTGGGTTGGTGAGGAGGGTGACCCACGACCGTGTAAAATAAATTTCACTATCACGGTTCATCTGCGGAGCTACTCGGGAGGTCGGCGGTGCGGCGAAATCCATTGTAGTTTGCTGAGCTGTGTAAGCCACGTCTGCTTGCTGACCAGCACATAATAAAGTTAAGTGGAAAAACAAACCGTGTGCCTGTACCGAATGAAAGCTGCTGAAATTAGGCACGCCTTGGGGGCCCGGTTGATTATTTAAGTGGAGAAAAGGGAAGGAAATGCATTTTCTGCTTCTGAAATGTATTTGGATTTATTATTGCAGTGTGTCGGCAGACAACGGATACTGTCTGCAGAATATTTTGGAAGGGCCCTGCATGGACATATCTATCTTTGACTTTCCCTCATGAGAGGAAACTCCCCACGCATTCTCGTGGGATAACTCCATGTTTACAATGATGTACTGCCATCTACTGATGCATTATAGCCAAGCAATTCATAACTTTTAAAGTCTATAATCTGCTGTTCTGATTGGCAGCCCATTGACTAACTACTCGTGTTTGAGGTCCGACTCGTGCTGCGGTGGTCATCGGGAGTTTAACCATGCTTCACGCTGGCCAGTGTGGTTGGTGAAGACTCACCCCAGGACTGGTCCAGATATCACTAGTCCAGCCGTGCTCGCTTCAAATGGATTTCAGGTGCACGCCACTGCCGTGTGCCACCTCCATGAATCGTTGCACGATCCACGGCCTTAATTCTATGGGCATGTCAACCCATTACCGCATGAAGGTCTTACCCACATTTTGGTTATGGAGGGAGCGGTGGGGCAGTGGTTGTCAAACTCAAGTTTTGTGACCAGCGATGCATTCCTGGCCTTGGATACATGCCACTGGTGGTGCGTGATATCTGAGCTGGTTTACATCGCTCGCTTCAAGGACCCCACGCTGACCAGTAGGTGAATTGCTGCGAAATGAACCGACGACCTTAAATTTAAAATACGATATAACAAACACAATGTTGTTGAAATGTGGAGGAGTTCCCCCAAAAACCACCCCTCCAAAATGTTGGCGTGCTGCGGCGTGCGTTGTGTTACAAGGCAGCGCTAATGATGGTAGTGGGTACGTTACGCTGGGCTGTGCTTGTACCCGACTGCCAGCACGTTCCTTTAATTTTAAAACGCGTTCAAGAAGTCACGCTCTGGTCGGCTCGCTCGCTAATCCAGCGACCTCATTTCAGTTCCTGACCAAAGTACTGTACTCGACTCACAATCTGAAGGTTCCTAATCTCAAAGCCCCAGCCCATCGCCATCTCGTGGTCATTGACGTGATCAGCACCGTTGAAATGCAGCAGTTGTCCATGCAGAGGCTGTTTAAGGCCGATGTAGAGTTAATGCAACATTTGTTCAATGTAGGGCCGTGGATATTTGAATTGCTAGCCATCTACCCTTGGCTCTGCGTGGGCCTCCCAACAGTTTAGCGCAGTGGTTCTTCTTAACCCCTGGGGGTGCGAGATGCCTTTTCTGGGGGTGCGAAACATTCCAGATGTTTTTTTAAAGAAGGTAAATAATCGAAAACACGAATTAAGCACGCGCACGTCAGTACAACTACTTTATATTCTTGGTTCTTTCGGTAAAGTCACGTAGAAGGGAAATAATAAAATAAAAAAATGTTTATTTTATATTTTTCTTATTTTATTATTTCCCTTCTACGTGACTTTACCGAAATAACCAAGAATATGAATCCCTGCAGTCACGAAAGCTTTAAATCAAAATTTGCAACTACTTTGTTTCATCAAACCGATGTATTTATTCACGTGCATTTTTTTTACGCTTGAGACTCAAAGGGGTGCAAGCTCCAGTGAAAGTAAAGAGCCACCACCGGTTTAACGCAAACAGCAGTGCTTCTCTTGAGCGTGGAGACGCGTCTCGTCCTCCACCTATGTTAGCAAAGATCAAAACAATGCTCGCCATTCGCCTCTGCTTCGGAAAGGTGCCCCTTGCATAGCTGACGGTGAAATATCGAGTGCATGCCCAGCAGACGAAGCAAGCAAGCCCTGCTCGGCCTGCTCGCTGGTTATCCGGGATTAAAAGCCACGCGGGATTCTGCCACATTATCTTGATTACATTCTTCCACGTTGAGCTCCGTTGACGTGAGAGATTGGGCGCTACAAGGAAGCCCTTGCCTCGCCTTTTGTTTCCCTTCGAGTGCCTTTTTTAATCGGGTTACAGCCCGGAATCTGTACGCTGTGTCGGCGTGTGTGTGTGTGTGGCACAGTAGGGGGCACAGATGGTGCATGGGCCAGTCATCGCAGTCGTCCCATGGAATCTGGGTCTGCCCCGTGACCTGCCGGCGGGCGGTCGACACTTCACGTGGCCTCAACGTGCACTTAGCCTGGCACAAGCATCGTGGTGATGTCACCGCCACTTATTGGTTGTTGTTGTTGTGTGACGGGGAGCGGTCGTGCAGCGGTAAGCGTGCCGCGCTACGAATCTGGCGACGCGTATTCGATTCCCGTTCACGGCCAACACTCGTGACAATTCAGCTTAACACGCTGGAGGCATTCGCGACTAATATCATCCATAATACAGGTTTTTGTGGGGGGGGGTTAGATCGCGTAAATATAAACGTGTCGTTAAACCCGCCACCACCCGACGCAGCCAATTAGTAAGGTTTGTCACGTGAACAGAACGTGGCCAATTTGTCACTAGTCCAGCACACCGGTGTGTTGGAGAGCAACATTTACAATCTGAGTACGAAGTTTCGCCAGCAACTTACAACTAGCGGTTGTGGTTTTGCTCTCCAACACACCGGTGCGCTGCACTAGTGACGAATTGGCACGTTCTGTTTACGTGACAAACCTTACTAATTGGCTGTGTCGGGTGGTGGCGGGTTTGACGACACAACATTTACGCTGATCTAACCCCAATCAAAAACCCTGTATTATGGACCAGTGACAATTATCTGAACCGGCCCTGGGCTTCCCCTAGATCGACTCAGCGTCAAATGAGTACGTGGTTCGGTGTGTAAACATTGCCACCAGGGAGAGGATGGGCGGTGGTCGTGTCTGGTGCTGGCCCCCTCCCCCCCTCACGTTCTGTGCCGGCCTCCATAGGTGCTTGCTAACGGCACTTGCCCCTACAGTCTTTGCGTGTATACCACAATACTGTTGAAATATTTACCAATAGAATCGGCTAAACATCCCAATGTAGGACGCTATTGAAACTGGAGCCTCGGGACTCGTCGATGCTGTTTGACTATATCATTACCAGCCACAATCTCTCCGCTGCTGGATGAAGGCTCTCCTAAGCCATTGGCAACTGTCACGGTCTTGTGATTGCAACAGTCCATCCGGTCTGCAGATGGGATTATTTGTATCGCTCCAAGGTGGGACATCTTTATTGGCGCATTCCCTCCTTTGGCTGTCACTGACATTCGTCTCGATGACGCCATCCGGCAACACGTCCTGCCCAAGACCCTTAAAGCAGTCAACACGATTTTAAATTTCGATTTAAAGCTTTCGTGACTGCAGGGATTCATCTTCTTGGTTCTTTCGGTAAAGTCACGTAGAAGGGAAATAATAAAATAATAAAAATAAAACATAATAAAATACAATTCTCACGACGTTTCGGCCTCAACGCAGAACAACGAAAACAGGTCTGTCGGAAAGACAGCGTCTGAATTCAGACGCTGTCTTTCCGACAGACCTGTTCTTCACCTGAGGACGGCTGCTTGTGTTGTGGCCGAAACGTCGTGAGAAGTGTATTTTATTATTTTGTATTATTTTATTATTTCCCTTCTACGTGACTTTACCGAAAGAACCAAGAAGATGAGTCAACACGATGTCGATGCTGTTCTCCGGTGAGACTGTTCCCATACATAGGAATGTGGAGTTTCAGAACCGTCAACGGACCGCCGCCACCACGGTGTTTGCGTGAAGCTCGGTGCACTTTGAGGCCACGTGGATCGGTGACGCTTTGTCAACGGGTCACGGCAGAGGCCCAGGGGTTATAGGTTATCTGGCGAGGATGACTGGCAGATGAACCAACCGCACCCCCTCCCCCAACTTGTATCTGCATGGCACTCCGCTTTCTGTGAACGTCACTCCGTTTTACATTGCTGGAGGGCAGCTGCTGTCAGCTTCTCAATAGCCTATTTCACAAAACGCAATAACGCCAACTAAGATACACAAAACGCCCTCCCATACAGCCTTGTATAGTTGCCGTACAGCCTTGTAGAGTTATTCCACCCACTGGAGAGACATGCAAATTCCAAATATGCAGCAAGCGTCGGAATCGAACCCACGAACTCTGCTGAATACATGGCGATGTAGTTGCCATCTCGCAACACATTGGCAGATACTCGTTTAAGGATGAGTCTTCATCGAGGAGGGCTGGAACCGATTCACATATCGCTCGTCCATGATGTTAGTCGTGGCGATGAGTCGAGCTCAAGCCGCAGGTTTTGTTACGTAGTGTTGCTAGCCATTGTAACACATACACACGTGTTCAAGCGTACACGCGTGTGTGTTACGTAGAGCGGTAAGTGTAGCTGTTAGCGCGCTGGGCTACGAACTCGGTGACTCGAGTTCGACTCTCGCTCATGGCTAACACCAGTGACGATTATCTGAACCGATAATGGGCCTCTCCTAGGTCGACTCAGCATCAAATGAGTACCTTGTGCGGTGTGTAAAAACATTACCACTGGGGAGACAAAGGCGGTCGGGCGTGGTGCTGGCCATCCAACCCCCCCGTGTGCCGTGCCAGCCTTCATAGGTGCTCGCTAACAGCACTTGCCCCAACCGCCAGTTCAGGCTATACGGGGCAACTTTGTATTTTTACATAGACACACAGTCTGTGGCAACGTCTCCCGTTTTGTTTGTTGGAAACCACGCCCTGATAAGGCTTGACATTTTATGATTGATACATTATTATATTTTTTATTAAGTTTAAAATTCACACCGCCGTGCCAGCCTGCGCCTTTTTCAATCCTAGTAAATTGGCAAAACATTTATATGAACTTAAACTGGTGATAGGGCCGTAATAAGGGGTGATTATAATGTTCAATGACATGCAAATGCCGGCATCCAGGCATGCGTGTGCAGGTTGTTGAGATGTTACATAATGTAATAATACA